ACCATTATTTTATTAAGTATTGGAGTGTGAATTGGGCGTTTTCTGTCTGAGGTCGGCCCGCGTCCGAAAAAGCAGTGTTGGGAAGGTGACTTTTAAAATGTATTCCCCTACAGATTACAGATTACATACACCAGAATGTAGTTTGTAACGTAATCCATTAAATTACTTAAGGTGAGTAACGTAATCTGAATACTTTGGATACTGAATACTCTGAATACTTGATTTGCTGTAGAGAAGCAAAGACGAGGAAATCATAACATAAGATGTTTTGTCTGACAATGAAAAGCCCAGTGTTTACTTAAACATATTAAAAATATTATTGATAAAGGAGGAGGAGACACGTTAAATCCTGTTTTAGACCTGGTTTTAGACCTGGTTTAGACCTGGTTTAGACCTGGTTTAGACCTGGTTTTAGATCTGGTTTAGACCTGGTTTAGACCTGGATTTAGACCTGGTTTAGACCTGGTTTAGATCTAGTTTAGACCTGGTTTTAGACCTGCTTTAGACCTGGTTTAGACCTGGTTTAGATCTGGTTTAGTCTTGGTTTTAGACCTGGTTTTAGACCTGGTTTTAGACCTGGTTTAGACCTGGTTTAGACCTGGTTTAGACCTGGTTTAGATCTGGTTTAGATCTGGTTTAGACCTGGTTTAGATCTGGTTTAGATCTAGTTTAGACCTGGTTTTAGACCTGGGTTAGACCTGGTTTAGACCTGGTTTAGATCTAGTTTAGATCTAGTTTAGACCTGGTTTTAGACCTGCTTTAGACCTGGTTTAGACCTGGTTTAGATCTGGTTCAGACCTGGTTTTAGACCTGGTTTAGATCTGCTTTAGACCGGGTTTAGACCTGGTTTAGATCTGGTTTAGACCTGGTTTAGTCCTGGTTTAGACCTGGTTCAGACCTGGTTTTAGACCTGGTTTTAGATCTGCTTTAGATCTGGTTTAGATCTAGATTAGATCTAGTTTAGACCTGGTTTTAGTCCTGGTTTAGTCCTGGTTTAGTCCTGGTTTTAGACCTGTTTTAGTCCTGGTTTAAACCTGGGTTTAGACCTGGGTTTAGACCTGGTTTAGACCTGGGTTAGATCTAGATTAGATTTAGTTTAGACCTGGTTTAGTTTCCGGCAATGAGTGGAATAAGAAAGAAGAAAAAAGAAAGGGGGATATAGCCCAAAATGTGAAAACAGGAAAACAGGAAAATACCGCCATGTAATCCATTTATTTCAACAAAGTAACTGTAATCCAATTACCACTCACTGAAACAGTAACTGTAGCCGAATACAGTTACTCATAATTTGTACTCTGATTACTTAACTCCGGTACATGTAATCTGTTACTCCCCAACACTGCGTGAAATGTTATTTAAGAGTAAAAAGGTGAGAGTAGTTCCTCACGTGTGTCTGTTTACATCCACACAGCGCACGGATCGAGGTGAAGCTGCAGATTCATAATACTGACTACTTCCTGTGGACTTTATCACCTATCTTTTACGCTTTAAAAAACCAAATATCTGAAGTACTGCACCATATTTCACAAATAATAATAACACTGTTTTGTCTTGTATCTAAACTTGAAGTGCAGGGCTCTGATCTTTTCAACACTGAGTCCAAACATAAACTCTAAATATTTCTCCAAACCTACTACTACTACTAAGTATGAGTCGTCAAAAGCTGATACTAACAGGTTCACTGTGGGTTGTGTTCACATTCAAGAATTGGATTATGTGATAATTTCAGATAGAGGGCGTCACACTCCCAGATGGTGCAAGAGACATTTTTCCATATTGACTACATTGTACTTTGCCATGAAATATACAAACAATAAACTCACAAACTTGATTGGTTCTTCAGGTGATTAGATCCTAGACCTTTTCTCTTCATTACCACAGAAATCTGCATTTTAATAATATTCATTGTAGCTGCATCCACTTAGATTAAGCATTATAGACTTGTAGAATGTTGTGACGTACCGTATTTTTCGGACTATAAGTCGCACTTTTTTCATGGTTTGGGTGTTTCCTGCGACTTATACTCCGGTGTGACTTATATATTAAACTTTTCAGACAGCTGTGAGAGGTTCTAGTCTTGTGTGTCAGTTTTCTGCGCATGTCTCCTGCAGAAAAAGCCACTGTCCTGCTGCAAGTAGTGAAATATGCAGCAGAAAACTATTATCGAACAGCAGAAAGAAAGTTTGGAGTGAGCGAGAAACTTGTGAGGGACTGGCGGAAAGCGGGGATGGAGAACACAGCTTCACGGCAACTGCGAGGGTGCGCCGTGAAACTTTCCTGGAAGTCACTGGATGAGAAAGCCTGAACTTCAGTGACAACCGGAGTTGCTCAGAAGTGACACCGAGGACGAAGAATTCAATGGATTTAGTGATTTGGAGTGAGATCGAGAGTTTGATAAACTTATGTTCTGTTGTTTATGCTATAATTATCTGAATAATTGTTAATATTTTACATTAACATTATAACGCCTGTTCAGCCTATTGTTCTTTATTCTATCGTTGTTACTGGAACTTGCCTTTCAAGATAAAATGTTGGTTCCTGGTCCCTGATTTTATAAAATAAATTTCCCTCAAAACGTGCGACTTATATATGTTTTTTCTTCTTCATTACGCATTTTTTGGCTGGTGTGACTTATACTCCGGAGCGACTTATAGTACAAAAAATACGGTCATCTGAAAACCCCCCGTATAACTCTATGGGAGATTCACTGTTTTTGTAAGAAATCTCCACATTTATGATCCACAAATGCTGAACGTTAAGGACTGGCTCCACAAACTTACCGTAGTAACCTTTAAAAGTTCTTTCTTTCATTTAAAGTTCTTTCAGCTGACAACAATCACATCTTTAAGGGTTGAATAATGACCTCACTTTCTGATTGTTAAATAATTTCACCAGAGAAGTGACAGGAGAGACTTTGTGCCAGTTTTTGTTTCGCGAGGATAGGCCCAGCAATTACCGAGACATTAACCATAAACCAGGGGAAAATATTTGCATTTTGACAGTTTAACAGCAAATTTTACTTTGTCTGATTACATAAAATACAAACTCCTACGAGGTATTTAAATGGATGAACAGTTTGTATGATTCAAACCACACACTTCTGCTGTTTTTGTGATGGTATTAGAACAATCCTACCTGCTCAGATATCTCAGAGAAATACGAGTGTTTTGAAAGAATCTTGAACTTGTTTTTGGAATAATTCTTGGCTCTTTTTGTTAAACCAATCCCCAAGTATTCACAGACAATATAATGGAGGATGACACAGGAGGAGCGGTCCATCTGAAATTATACTTAAACCTGCAGTTGGTAAAACATGGACATGCGAACTCAGCAAAACGCCGCAGAAAACGAGAGGAGTTAGAAATCAAATGTTGTGCAGGGAAAGTGAACTGGACCAACTTTTGTAATTGTGTAGGCCTTTGAATGTTTTTATTTTATTCTTGTAAAGAGGGTTGTGGTATCGTCTTACTTAAAGATGATTTTTACAGTCTTAAAAACATGAAAAACAGAACCAGCTCATTTTAAACGGTTTGTTGTCGGTCGAAAGTAGAGTCCTGCAATCTGCGGGACTCGACGCAAAACAGTGCGGCGCGGGACACATTTTGAAAGGTCACTGCGGGCGCGGGCGGGAGCGAGACTACACAACGCGGGAGTGAGCGGGTGGGATGATAAACTGCAGTCCCACAAACTAAATCTGAGTGTAAAGTAAAATATACAAATGACGAATGTAAGTATGTCATGCATAATTTGTGCTGGATATTTTATTTGGCATTGACCGTCCCACAGACAGTCCCCCCCGTCCCATACGCTGCGCGGACAGTTCCCCCTTCTCCTGTACGTCGCGCGCGGGCTGTGCCACTGAACCCGAACTAAACCAGGACAAAACCATGTCTAAAAACTTATGCAGTCCAATTCCTTTCGCTTCTCCGTCTTTGATAGAGCTTAAGAAAGCAAGAGTTCTCATCCTGCAGGATTTTGAAAATTACAATTCTTTGCGGGAGCGCGGGGGAGTGGGACTGAAAATTCTGTCCCGCGCATTCAGAGCATCCTCATTATTCACACTGATGAGTTTATAAGCAATTTTCTCAACTTTCAGAGACCAGTGTGGAGTTTTGCTGTGACGGTAAATCTAACAACACCTAGAATGTTAACGCACGCTTCCTGATTGTCGGAGGATAAAACACTTTTAAAATTAGATACAGAGATCAGCACACAGCAGACTTAGGCAACGTTCAGACTGCAGCCTGAAGTGAAATCAGATTTTTTTTGGACCCCTATGCTCCCGTATCTGATCTTTTAATGACAGTCTGAACAACACAGATCCGATTTTTTCAAATGCGACTCAGGCCACTTGGATATGTGCTCCTAAAACCGATACATAGCCGATCTATTGGCATGTGACTTCAGTCTGAAAAGCCAGGTCACATTCATCCCACCTACAAATTTTCACAAACGTTCTTTTTGTCAAACGAAAATTGTGTATGAACTTCGTGTCAGTGAAGCAGTGAAGCACATGTCGATCCCACCACTCTTGGCTGCGACTCTGCACCTACATATTCCTCTCTACGGACGTTGCTGCCACTGCCCCACAAAACGCCATGACTAAAAACCTCGTCCTTCTCCTTCTCAATCTCCTCCTTAAATCAAACTGTACATGTTCTGGCTCGGGTACGACAACAACTTTAAAATCGGCAGGTACTCAATGCTCACGTCCATGTTTAGGCGACTTCTGTAAACACTGAGCACGCTCGCTTCGTGGGACACTTTTGGGGCGCTTAATGTTCAACACTGGAGATCACATAAGAGTCACACTTAACTGGAAATGTGAATGACCTCGCAAAAAAATCTGATTTCACAAAAAAAAATCCAAATTGAGCTTGAAAGTAGCCTTATTTTGACCGGATGAGCTTCTTATACTATCTATACTGTGGTAATTCTGCTCAAATGCACGGGAAAAAACAGGTACAGATAATATAATATAATATAATATAATAACCCACCTCCCTCTCGTCCTGGTGCAGCCACTGTTTGGGGTTGTCCTCCGTGGCCAGGTAAGCGATCAGGTCCAGAGCCGTGAGACGAGTCTGACGACGAGATGAGACGAAGATGAGCACGGGCTTGGCAGGAGAGTGGCTCCGGATGGCTGAGAGAGAAGAGACGCATGTAAACAAACAGTGGTGACTAAAGGGTCTTAGGACAAGAAATTGCTGAATAAATGTTTGTCGTGTATCAAGCGGCTTATCTAGTATCAAAATGTTCAGAAGGGACCCAGCCATGTTTCTAGAACACCATGAAAGGCATTATAAACACTGTAGCTGTAGAAATAACCCTGTTTCTCATAATACAACAATTCAGTCATTTGTATAACTTGAATTGTGTTCATTTGATTGAAACACAGAAGGATAATGTTTAGTTATTTAGTTAGTTCATTCAGTTGGCCTCAAGCTGAAGTTCTCGCTTTTACCATATGATTTACCACCTTTCATATGAGCAGTTATTGTTTTTATCTTAACTTACACATCCTAACATGATTCTAAAATATACTTGAAGCACTTTGCATCTGTTTTCTGCAGCCAGGTATGTTAGAGAGGGGTAATGTTTGTCAAAAACATGGTACATAAATACTTTTTATTAAAATATTTCTATTTGAGCAACTAAGTTATACAACATGAAATAAGTACCGCATTTTTCAGACTTATAAAAGTAAGGAATTACTTTAATGTGTTGCTTTTTGCTGTAATACAGTAATGTAAGGCATTACAGGGAAAAAAATTGTGATATTTTACTTGGTACAAATGTCAGTAACACGTGTCACAATGCTTTTTTTAACCTGGATTGAAGTGGTGGGTTTTCCGTTTTTCTTTACACAAATTCGCTAAAATCGGAGCAATATCAGCAGCGGTGAAATGTCATTTTTACAGCTCCAAATGTTGGGACGACCCGGAGGTGTGGCCGACGTAGACTGTCGGGTCACTGCTGGTTCAGTCCTGGCTCAGTTCTGGTTTAGTCCTGGTTTAGTCCTGGTTGGGTCCTCCTGGTTCAGTCCTGGTTCAGCTTTGGTTCAGCTCTGGTTCAGCTCTGGTTCAGGCCTGGTTCAGGCCTGGTTTAGTCCTGGTTTAGACCTGTTTTAGTCCTTGATTTAGTCCTTGGTTTAGTCCTTGGTTCAGTCCTGGTTTAGACCTGGTTGGGTCCCTCCTGGTTCAATCCTGGTTCAGTCCTGGTTCAGTCCTGGTTTAGACCTGGTTTAGACCTGGTTGGGCCCTCCTGGTTCAATCCTGGTTTAGTCCTGGTTTAGACCTGGTTTAGACCTGGTTCAGTCCTGGTTCAGTCCTGGTTGGGTCCTCCTGGTTCAATCCTGGTTCAGTCCTGGTTTAGTCCTGGTTTAGACCTGGTTTAGACCTGGTTTAGACCTGGTTGGGTCCTCCTGGTTCAATCCTGGTTCAGTCCTGGTTCAGTCCTGGTTCAGTCCTGGTTCAGTCCTGGTTTAGTCCTGGTTTAGTAATGGTTTAGTCCTGGTTTAGACCTGGTTTAGACCTGGTTTAGTCCTGGTTCAGTCCTCGGTTCAGTCCTCAGTTCAGTCCTCAGTTCAGTCCTGGTTTAGTCCTGGTTTAGTCCTGGTTTAGTCCTGGTTTAGACCTAGTTTAGTCCTGGTTTAGACCTGGTTTAGACCTGGTTTAGTCCTGGTTTAGACCTAGTTTAGTCCTGGTTTAGTCCTGGTTTAGACCTAGTTTAGTCCTGGTTTAGACCTAGTTTAGTCCTGGTTTAGACCTGGTTTAGTCCTGGTTCAGTCCTCGGTTCAGTCCTCAGTTCAGTCCTCAGTTCAGTCCTGGTTTAGTCCTTTAGTTAGTCCTGGTTTAGTCCTGGTTTAGACCTAGTTTAGTCCTGGTTTAGACCTGGTTTAGACCTGGTTTAGACCTGGTTTAGTCCTGGTTTAGACCTAGTTTAGTCCTAGTTTAGTCCTGGTTTAGTCCTGGTTTAGACCTAGTTTAGTCCTGGTTTAGACCTGGTTTAGTCCTGGTTCAGTCCATATACGGCGCAAAAATTCGACATCTTCACTCACTGATGCTTATTTCACAATCAGCGACAGTTTTTTGTGTTGAGAGTAACTTTAACGTGCTGCAATATTCATGTAAAGTTTTATATTTTAAACACAGTAATACTGTAATGTAACAAATCACTTTGAAACGACAGTAACAAGTCATAAATAAATAACACATTACAGTTCTGAAGTAACTTGCCCAACCGTGGTCTTTAGCGTTACCTTGAAAAGTGGGTTTGTTCATTGTGGCCATGCGGGGGCAGTAGTGTTGCCCCGGAAACCCGTGGATGTGCACCTCGAGCGGGACGGGGCGCACAGACGGCCGGAAGTTAAACAATCCCACCTGTTCCGAGACAAAAGAGGAAAAGAAAGTAAGGAGAGGCAGAAGGGACAAAAAGGACAAAACACAAACAGAGATTTACGGCGAGCAGCTGGTGATGTGGAGCCCATCTGTGTAACTCTAACCTCTGTAGTTTAGTCTAGTCTGGGGAGAGGGAGTCGTGTTTGCACATTAAAAGTTTGAAGTTTGAGTGGGACGTGTGCCAGGGACGAAACCAGTGAATGCAAAGATTTATAAGAGAACTCTGACAGTCTGGACAACAGCTTCTTTACACTGCTGAAAGTTTAAGGCTGCAAGATTAATCGCAATCGAATCGAAACTTGAACGGACACAATTAGGCTACGTTCAGACTGCAGGGCTTAACGCTCAATTCCGATTTTTTTTTGTGAAATCCGATGTTTTCGCGAGGTCGTTCACATTTCCAATTAAATGCGACTTGTATGTGACTCCAGTGTGAACATTAAACGGCCCGAAAGTGTCCCGCATGTGACACTGGAGACACGACGACGTCAACCGCAGCGAGCGTCTCTGTGTTTACAGAAGTTGTCCAAACATGGACGCAGCATTGAGCACCTGGAGATTTTAAAGTTCCTCTCGTACTGGAGCCAGAACATGAACAACTTACTTGTTTTAAGGAGGAGATTGAGAAGGAGAAGGACGAGGTTTTTGGTCGTGGTGTTTTGTGGGACAGCGGCAGCGACGTCCGTTGAAAGGAACGTGTGGATGTGGAGACGGAGCCAAGAGTGGTGAGTGGTGATGTGCTTCACTTCAGTGACATGGAGTTCTTTAACAGTTTTCGCCTACTTCAGCACAGAATAGTGACGTTTGTGGCTTGTTGATAACGTGTAGATCGAATGAATGCGCTTTGGCCGTTCACACTGAAGTCACATGTCAAAAGATCAGATATGTATCGGTTTCAAGAGCACATATCCAAGTGTCCTGGGTCACATTTGAAAAAATCAAATCTGTGTCGTTCAGACTGTCATTAAAAGATAAGATACAGGAACATAGCAGCCAAAAAATCTGATTTGGGTCACTTCAGGCTGCAGTCTGAACGTAGCCTTAGTAAATCACAAAGTACAGTATTTTTCGGGCTATTAGGCGCTCTATTAAATGGTCATTAAATGGTCTATTTTCGAACTTTTTTCATAAATAAACCGCACCGGACTTTAAAGGAAACACAACAGTGTGATGTGTGAGTAGGACTTTGTTTGTCACGTTCACGGTGACTCTGGGCTTTGTTCAGTTGTGGCGTGTAGGGAGGGTGCTGTCCGGGACCAACGGATTGTCGGCGTTTTCGCAGTGACTCAGTTGTTCAGTTGTGTGTAGAAGTGGCACATTGCGATCGCTTTTTCGCCTTTTTGCGCACATTTGTTTACGTTTTACAGAAACAAAACTTAAAATCGCATGGCTTATTTGCATAAACTATAAGCGCTGAAAAAAAAAAAAAAACAGCTCTCTCCTTGTGCGTTGATGCGGTTCAGCTTCTGTTGGACTTTCGCGAGACTCCTAACTACGGTCGCCGTAATGCTCCTACAATCCATAATCCAAAGTTATATTAAAACATTTTGACACATTTTTGAGCGCCGTGTAAAAATACGGTACTATAAAAAAACCTTGAAAAACTTGCCTTCTTCCTGCTTGTCTTCATAGATTTAATAACATATTGTCAAAAATTCATGAGAAGTTAAACAGTGCACCTTTAATTATTCGTTATGAAAACAGTAATTGTCATTTTCCAGCGAGTATCGTAACCTTGAACCCATTAAAACCGAACTGTCAGCAGAATTCGATACGGGCTACACCATATCCTCCCCAATATAAACTCCCTTTGTTAAAAATAATAATAGACAAGCTAAGTGTGCAATACTCCAGCTGGATTTTCAGTACAAATCATATGTCATTGTTTTGATAAGTCATGGTCTTATTGCAAATCTCCTTTTAGCTCCAGAATGACAAGCCAAGCCCATCATTTGTATCCCCGGTATCTTCTCTCATCTCTGGACTCTAAACAAGGCAACCGAACTTTAAACTGTGGTCATTTTGGAGATTTGATGCCGTTAAAACGATGCCAAAATATCTGTTTGCCCTAATTACTCCTATTGCAGACATTCAGTCAAATATAAATGGGCAGATGAGAAAATCTTGGAACGATTGAGGAATAATGTGGTTAAACTTCGCAATTTGTAACATAGTAAATTCTTGGTGTATTTCGTACAATGGAGCCGACTGTTGCAATCACAGACCAGATGGACCGCAACAACCTGGATCTCGAAGAGCGGAGAGCACAAAGAAAGGCCTCCCCAAAGGCTTTAGCTCTGTGTCGCAATGGTGGCCAAACCTCAGCTTCAACTAAGAATCTTGATAAAGACGAGTGGCATTTCACTGCAGCTTAGTGTCGCAGTCTTGAGACCGGCTTCGAGACAGCTGTTTTACGGTCTTGGTCTCGTCTCAGGCTCGAGCGCGTTTGGACTCGGGCTTGTCTCGGTTTTGAAGGTGTTTTGACGGTCTCGGTCTTGTCTCGAACTACTTTCAGACTGCTAAATATCACTGTAAAAACCAGTCGATAAGATAACGTAATTGTAAATGTTAGGAACTTGGAAAAAAACAACAACACTTTCCTCACTTTGAAGCCGTGTGCCAGTGGAAATCGGATTAAAGAAGGTGTTCTCAAATTGTGTGTCTTGGTCCAAAAAAGGGGCACAGAGTTTGTTTGGTTTATTTTAAGTCTAAATAAACATTAAACAGATCAAATGGAGTATAGATTTATAAAAGACATTGACATAAATGTGCCAAAATAACTATAAAATACAAATAAATGTAGGGAATTACAAAGACGGTCTCGATTTGGTCTCAATGTCGGTCTTGTCGATCTTTTTAAAGTCTCAATCTTGTGTTCATTTGGGGGGTGGGAAGGGCAGAGACTGTTTACTATTTTGTTTTATACTTTTTGGTTTCTAAAAAAAAAATAGAAGTTGGAAAAAAAAAGTCCCGGTCTTGTCTCAGTCTCGATCCTCAGAGATCTTGGTCATGTCCTGGTCTCAGAACCCTGTGGTCTTGGACTGGTTTTGGTCTCGATTAGTGCAGTCTTGACTACACCAGCTCCGTACGAGTATTTATGATTCAAATAATAATAATAATCATAAAGAGCTGTGGATGTATACAGGGGGTAGGTGAAAACAGACATTTTTGAGCACTCAACCCGCAAGAAATTATTTTAATGCAGGAATCAATCCAAATATAACTCTGGGTAAGTTAATAATGAGGCAGCACTGTGAGTTATACAGAGCAACATAACAATAAATAAGCAAATACGCAGTGGAATTTTGTCAATCTTTTTGTATATTAATCTGGATCCACACTATAATTATTAGCGATCATTCAAGTGTTTTCTAAGACCTTTTTAAGACCAGTTATATAAAAAACATAATACCTATTTCATGGCCTATTTCATAGACCTACCAGCAAACAAAAACAACATTCTTAAATTTGTGTTCATTTATTTGGGAGGAAGACACTTCCCAGCGTGAAAACGTGTTAAACCAACGTTAAAAAACAACATAACGGCGTTAGTCAAACTTTCTGTTTTGCTGAGATTTTCTTTAACTTTTGACGCATTTCTGCTTCTGTTGCCTGTTCCGGAGCTGTAGGTGCCTGATCTTCAGTGACGTGTTCAGAGTATTTTGACCTGTGGCTGTGTTGCGTTCTCAATTATTTGTTCCACCGTCACTCTTTATTTATGCCACGTTATTTAACAAAATAATGGTGATTGACGAATTAAACTTTTGAGAAATGCGATACGAAAAAGTTACATACTGCATACACTTTAAGACGCAGATATAAAAATTCAAGACATTTTCCAAATCTTTTTAAGGTATTATTTCCAAATTCAGACAAATTAAGACACCACGGGACCCTGTGTAAATAAATATTAGTTACACGGCTAAATAATGACTCCGTGTACAGACCTGTCCGATCCCGAGCCAGTCTGCCAGGTCTCGAGCGTTGGCCAAAGCCGTGGACAGACCCACGACCCGGACACTTTTGGACGTGTGCGACGAGATGAAGTTCGTCCTGGACACGATCACCTCCAGGACAGGCCCTCTGTCTTCACCTGAGGCAAACAAATGAGGAGAAATACAGTTAATTTTACATTACATTAACACAAATATAAGAAATTCTCTAGAAAATATATATTTGTAAATGTACCCAAAGTAGAAGTGGACTGGGTTTTGAGGTAACCTTTAGTCACTGATGCTAGAATCATAAAAATAGAAGAACTTCTCATCTTCCTACTGCTACTTTGCATTTTAGAGAATATCATAAATCATAGTTGAAGTAATATTTTGCACAGAAAATTCTTCCCTATCAAGATATTAAGGGAGACTACTGTCAATTTGGGTGATTTCCTTTTAGAAGTTTCCATTTTTTATGTTTGGTATGAGTGCAACCGAGTGAACGCATTTGGATTTAGTCTTATAAAAACAATGGCGCATTGTAGAGACAGTACGCTCTGCATCGTCCTGGTTCATAGCTCTCTGGCCGTAAGGTTTTCAAATGAAGGTGCCTTTAGATTCATGTAGAATCATCTGAGAAGCCAAATCAAGATCACTTAAAAAAAAAGACAGAGCATAGTTAACTGACAGCGCCTCAAAAGTCGGAGGTTTGATTCCCATTCAGAAAAACTTCAGTCGTTATGTCCTTAGGCAAGACACTATAAATGAGTAATGACCACATGTAAGTGCTTTGACAGGCTTCGAAAACCCTGTAAAACGCATTACAAGAGAAAGGCGTTTTTATGAAGCATGCCCAAAGGTTTGAACAGTGGATCACAGAGGGGAAATTACAATCCAAACATGTTTTAAGCATATAAAAAAAGTAACTAACAATAATAAATAATTCTATCATGTGTTTAGTTTTAACTGGAGCAGCTGAGGGGAGCTTTACCCAGCAGATGGATCTCGTCGATGATGAGAATAGCCACTTTCTGGACGTAGCTGCGGTTCTGCCAGCTGCGGCTCACCCCGTCCCACTTCTCCGGGGTGGTGACGATGAGCTCGGCCTGAGCGATGGCCCTCATGTCCGGGGTCACGTCGCCCGTCAGCTCCACCACTCTGGAGCGGAGACAACGGCAGATTTAGGAACTGTCACAGAAACGCTAAACGCTATTGATCGTTTTCGGTGACTTCATTTGGTGTTTCTGCCGGGGAATTAGCGACCATGGCGATGCACAACATAAACACGAGGAAACAGTCGCGTACGTTTTTAGATGGACTGAAAACTCATAAGTGGGACCATTTTACTCAGCTTACTTTTTTCCAAGTTTCTCCTCAATGCGAACTTTCCAGTCCTCTATCCTCTCTCGGACCAGGGCCTTCAGAGGGGCAATATACACCACCTAAAAGGACAGGGGTAAATTAGATCGTTTGTTGTAAATATTTTTTTTATTTACCGTATTTTTCGGACTATAAGTGGCACTTTTTTTCATGGATTGGGTGTTTCCTGCGACTTACACTCTTACTTATACTCAGTGTTGGGAAGGTTACTTTTAAAATGTAATCCCCTACAGATTACAGATTACACACCCCAAAATGTAATTTGTAACGTAATCCATTAAATTACTTAAAGTGAGTAACGTAATCTGATTACTTTGGATTACTTGATATTGTCATGTTTTTTTAAACGACATGAATGTAGCAACCACATCCTGAAAATTCTTGTTTGTTGTCTTCAAATTGTCTGAGCCCAAGTCTCCATGAATAAGCAACTGTTTACTGTAGAGAAACAAAGACCACGACATCTTAATATAAGAGGTTTTGTCTGTTAAAAAGACAATAACAAGATCAGTCTTTCCTTCACCAGATTAAAAAATATTATTGATAGAGAAATTATATGAGATCACCTTAAATTATGTCAACCTACTGTTAGGTGTCATGTTGTTTAGACCTGTTTGTTTGGTTATGTCCTTGTTTAGTCCTGGTTAGTCCTGGTTTAGTCCTGGGTTAGTCCTGGTTTAGTCCTGGTTTAGTCCTGGTGTTAGTTCTGGTTTAGAGGCGCACAGGAGGAAGCGCGGTTTACGCGAGAAAACACGGTCCACACGCGGCGCACGAGACGGCGGTGTCCGCGCAGTAACTACGGAAGGAGACGTGGTCCGCGGGTTCTCAGGTTGATGACGATGATGAAGGTGTTTGTGTGTGTTTGTGTTTGTGTGTGTGTTTGTGTGCACATCCACTCATGTCGCAGGTCACTATAGGACAGTAGTGCAGATATTATGAGTCTATGCAGGTTGTTTTCACCAGTGCCAGTAGCTCCGGTTTCACATTTAAGTTGTAGGCGATTTTATATTTGTTTTTTTTTATATATTTATCTCACATCGGGAGAAGAATTTCCAAGACACAAATGCGTTTTTACCAATGCACTGCTGCTTCCACTGTGTGACTGACACCGCCAACTTTAACATGACGTTTCCATCGCTCTTATTGCCACGTTCTGTTTGGGCTTCAGGCAATGAGTGGAATTACCGAAATAAAAAAAATAAATAAATGGGATGTAGCACAAAATGTGAAAACAGGAAAATACCGCCTTGTAATCCACTTATTTCAGCAAAGCAACTGTAATCCAATTACCACTCATTGAAACAGTAACTGTAACGGAATACAGTTACTCATAATTTGTACTCTGATTACGTAACGGCAGTACATGTAATCCGTTACTCCCCAACACTGCTTATACTTACTTATACTTACACTCTGGTGCGACTTATATATTAACATTTTCAGACTAACAGCCATGAGAGGCTCTAGTTTATTTATTTATTTTACCTTTATTTTACCAGGCAAAACATTAAGAACAAATTCTTATTTACAATGTTGGCCTGGTCTTGTGTGTCAGTATCTAGTACTACTATTACTCCTGTACCACTGTCACTTCACTCTACTGCGCGTGTCTCCTGTAGAAAACGCCGCTGTCTTGCTGCAAATAGTGAAATATTCAGCCAAAAACGGTAATCAGAAAGTTTGAAGAAAGTTTGGAGTGAGCGAGAAACTTTTGAGGGACTGGCGGAAAGCGGGGATGGAGAACACAGCTTCACGGGAACCGGGCGGGTGCTTTCCTGAAGTCACTGGATGAATCGACAAAGCCTGAACTTCAAGTGACACCGAAATTATCCTGTCGGGATTCAGAAAGACCGGAATAATTCTAACTGGAACTGATGCTAAATCTGACGACAGCTACACAGAAGAGGAAGCGGTGCTCTGTTTACATCACGGATCTACGGTTTATCTCCGGAGGTCGAGCAGAAGTGACACCGAGGACGAAGAATTCAATGGATTTAGTGATTTGGAGTGAGACTGTGAGTTTGGTAAACTTATGTTCTGTTGTTTATGCTTTAATTATCTGAATAACTGTTGATATGTTACGTTAACATATTAATGCCTATTCAGTCTGTATTTCTCTGTTCTGTTGTTATTACTGTAACGTGACTTTCAAGATGAAGTGTCAGTTCCTGGTCTCTGATTTTATGAAATACATTTCCCCAAAAAGTGCGACTTATATATGATTTTTTCTTCTTCATTGCGCATGTTTTGGCTGGTGCGACTTATACTCCGGAGCGACTTATAGTCCAGAAAATACGGTATTGTTCATTTGATAGTGACAGACACAGTAAACATAAACAAGTATTTTCTCTACTTTTCCCTCCTCTTAGCCAAATAAGAGTCAGGTTTGCAAGCACATTCATAGTAAAAATGCATGAATTTCAGTGTCAGTTCAATAAACACAATTAAAAAGAGAAAGAACAAAACAAAAACATGCTTTTATGTTAATCTATTCTTTGTCTAATACTATGTCATTAATAAAATACATCTACCAACTCTAATCAAAGATCAAAAGTCTGATTCACGTTGTCGTATCTCATATAGAAATGGTCAAACCTTGGACCCTGGATACTGGTTGAAGACCCTGAACATGGCCATCTCTGCAGCAATGGTTTTCCCGGAGCCCGTTGGCGCCCCCAGCAGGACGTTGGTGTCGGTGTGGTACAGCGTGTGGAATATCTGCGTCTGGATCGGGTTGTAATGAGTGAATTTGTACAGACTCTCGAAGGCTCTGTTTCCCAAAGCGGTGATGGGCAACGGCTGCAGATCCAACAGCTCTGAAGAGAAGAAAATGCACCTTTTGGTTAGTCAATTACTACTGTGAAAGCCATTATTAGTTGCAACTTTATCAAATGAAAAAGCTTTAAAGTTATTAGCTATGAGCAGATGAATGTCTCAGGAGTCACAATACAGACATTTCAAACTTAATTTTGATATTAGGGAAAGACTTGAAACTCAATGCCGAATTTCATAAATGTAATAATCAACACTAAATAATTATACTTTCTTTAATATTACAATACAGTTTTATACTAGTTCTGATATTCAAAAACTTTAAAGCAGACATGTCAAACTCAGGCCCAGGGACTAAATTTGGGCTGCGATGTAATTATATTTGGCCCACGAGATCATATCAAGTATATATTAAAGCTGCTCACCGGCTACAGACAGGCTACAGAGACATTATTTATTTAAGATTTTGTTATTGTTTTATATTTTGCTTGTTCTGGATTGAATATTTAAGCAAAACTATTATTAAACATTTATTTAAATGAGAAAAGGTTTTAATTTTACATATCTCGAAAGAAGAGAAAACATGCAGATGTTGTTGAAATTTTTCAATAAATATTTAATTTGGCCCAAGACTTTTTAATTTTGGCCCTCTGTGAATTTGAGTTTGACACCCTTCCTTTAAAGCAGGCATGTCCAAACTATGGCCCGTGGGCCAAATGCGGCCCTCAGCCTCCCAGGTGAAATGGCCCATCAATTAAAAATGAACTTTTTACTGCAAGTTTTTTGAAAATCTACCTTGATAAAGCTAATATTTAATATTTAGTGTGTGATTTTAAGGATCTTAGCATGAATAAAGACTGATGAGTCACTCTAACGTTTTAAACATGCACATATTTCAATTATTCACTGTAATGAGCACCAGTTTACGGCCCTCGATCAGCGCTCTGCTTCGTCTATGTTTAGATATTTGGCCCTTGACGAAAAAAGTTTGGACACCCCCGCTTTAAAGGACAGGTCTAATTTTGCCATATCTGTAATTTTTTAACCACACTTAATTATTAAAGGTGCTGTACCCAATTTTTCCCATGTATTTGAGGAAAATATAAAATATATTTCTTGCCCCAGTACAGATATATTGTATAAGCAGCTCTTGAGGTCAAAATAAAGCCGCTTTGTGCTGCCTACATCTAATTATAAAGTGTTTTAGTGTCCGATAATCAGGATGTGCACGTTAGCATGCCAAGTGTTGCCTATAAACTGATTTGAAATGTTAGTATACTGCAGTCAGTGAAGTATTTTAAAGCCATACCATATATCATATGCAAAATAATTGTTGGTTTAAGCCATAATCTGCTCTCCTCTTATGTGGTCTGTGTCTGTAACATGTTTCAGTAGAATTAAACAGTTTCTTTGCTGGCTTTGACTTTCATGCTAAAACCACACTAAAAGAACGGACAGACGATAAGAGAGAGAGAGAGAAAAAAGAAAAGGTCTGGCAACAGTTTGGCTTCTTAAAACAAGGCCAAGTCTCACAACTGGAAACATTTACAGATGTCAGAGAGCTCCTCCATTATAAAGGAACAGAAATGGGATTAGTGGTTTAAGTCAAAGGGTTAAACTGCTGTTAACACAAAGACACAAGAATGGACTGTTAGAATAAAGGATGGAGTCAAAAGAAAGATGATTTGGGCTTTAACGTGAAGTAGATTAAGATATTATTGGACATATTTGTGCTTTTCAAGTTGAACTAAAAAAAAATAACAAGTGAAATTTGCGTTCAAAGGATTTTAGCCATTTTAAAGGGCCCATCTCATGTAAAATCAACTTTTCAGAGCTTTCTACCTTCTAAGAGTGATGTGTGGGCCTTGTATATGTCGCCAAAGTGTTTTTTAGATTGATTTAGTTGTTTTTTTTAACAAATTGCAGCGTATTTCTGCCACCCTCCCACGTGACAACGAATGAAAGCTGCTACAACGATGACGCGGCAGATACACCTATGACGTGTTTGACGTAGCAGAAGACGCTTCGTACCTGCCCCCTCTACGCTCCACCTTTTTTACTGAAAAAATGTTGCCAATGTCAAATCATCATATTTCTGTTGTCAGCTGAGGGTGTCAAAAAACAACGTCCTTTGGAATACAGAGAACCAGCGTCATCTATGGGTGAAATGTCTGGTGCTACAACTGAAGGAAAATAATCCTTTTCTGGTTTTAAATAACAAATACATACATTTAAACATTAACATGCAATAACAAATGAATTAACAATTTTTTTCTAAACCTTTTTAACCTAAATATTCAACAGCCTCCGCCCCACCTCCACCCCACATCGGCTGACAATTTCCACATGAACACTTAAAAAGCGACAGCATAAGCTCATTGTTCTACACTGCAGTGAACACAATATAATAAGTTTATCTACTAGTGTTTATTAATACTTTACCAATCAGTAATGTTCAGCTGATGTGGACGCGGTGCTTGAGCTTCGTGCACCTCAAAGTCCTCGTCCGATTCCGGGTCCAACACATGCGGCTGAACGCGCTGTATCTCCATGATGAATAAAAGTTTATTCCTACCACTATCAGGGTGCACACCTGTCTCCCCCTCCCTCCCTGAGATGGACGGAGGAAGGGCGGCTCACTCAGAGCCTACGTCACGTTTGGAGGGCGGAGCCTGTGCTTTCTCAGGACGGGCGGGGGGAGGAGCAATAGTCGGTCTTTCATAGTTCCTGGTCTGTGACGGTCTCCAAGAAATCAGTAAGATTTCATAACTATTGTGTAATGGATGTTCCAAAACCCAAATTGTGCTTGTTTATGTGCAGAAGATACAATGTGAAAAGAGTTATTTTGCATGAGATGGGCTCTTTAAGATAATAAATGGTGCTTTTGTCTGTTCTAGTCCGTGACCCGTTTAAAGTTTGAATCAAGTTTTTATCATTTGCGGCTTTTATCTAAAGTCAAACCTTTTCTATCTTTTAAACTTTTTGAACAAGCCATGCACGCTTTTATTTCATCACACCTGGACGAATGTAACGCACTTTATTCCGGCATCTCACAAATCGCACTTTACTGACTACAGTGAGTCCAAAACTCTGCAGCGTGACTTTTAAGAGGAGCCAAAAGAAAAGAGCACAATACCCCGATTCTCGCGACTCTGATTTAAAAAGTCAGTTTCATACCGGTGTGTGGAGGATGCCTTTCGGGGAGGATGAGGTTCTGAAAGTTGATGACGCAGATGGCCTCAGCTCCGAGCCAGCGGTCAGACACCACCCTGATGTAGTACTGAGACGGCAGAGGCTCAAAGATCGGGATGGTGAAGACAATGTGCTGAGGCTCGCCTGTCACCACCTGCAGGGGGCGACATAAGCAAAAAACAACTTTAAAGGGATAGTTCAGGTTTTTTGACATGAATCTGTGTGTCGTCCCCGTCAGCAGTGCGGTGCATCCACACTGACTTTACCTCCGAAAGCGTCCGGTGAGCCGAGATCCTGGCCAGTTTTGGTGCTGAGGAAAGTAGTTCGGCAAGTTGTGTGGGGACTGTATAATAAAGTGTTTTTCTTCTCAAAACAACATGTGTTAAAAAGAGTGACACATTTGCACCACAAAACCATCGTCCTCTAAAAAGTCAGACCTCATAATCGCTTGGCGCTATTTTCTCTCCGTACGTATCACTGCACGCGGCCGCCAGGTGACAGCCGCGCCTGGTTCACTTTGTTAACTGCTGATCTTATCTTATCTTATCTTAAACTGATTTTAGCACAGAACCAATGGGAGATCTTTTTGAACCCGAATATACCAATGCCAAAATTCGCCAGAGAGAGTTAGACGAAATTAGGCAGAGAGAGAGAGAAGAGGCGAATATTCCGAGCAGTTAACAAAGTGAAACAAGCGGTGCAGTGATACGTACGGAGAGAAAATAGCGCCAAGCGATTATGATGTCTGACTTTTTAGAGGACGATGGTTTTGTGGTGCAAATGTGTCACTCTTTTTAACACATGTTGTTTTGAGAAGAAAAACGCTTTATTATACAGTCCCCAGCCAACTTGCCGAACTACTTTCCTCAGCACCAAAACAGGCCAGGATCTCGGCTCACCGGACGCTTTCGGAGGTAAAGTCAGTGTGGATGCACCGCACTGCTGACGGGAATGCCATACAGATTCATGTCAAAAAACCTGAACTATCCCTTTAAGTGTGTGACAGGTTTGGAGGATTCTCAAATTTTAACTTCATTTGGTGGACTGGGGATAATACTTAGTGTAAATATAAATGATATCAAGAAGCAATCTACGAAGAAAACTTTAAAAATATGAAAATTAGATGAAGTAGAAAGTTCTTAAACTGAGCTCACACTAGGGAGAGTTTTATCCAAAAGTTTGACACAATTTACAAGAAATCTGAATTTCCCTCTGGATCAATAAAGCATCTGTCAGGAGGCAGAGAGATCTTAAATGTGACTTCACACTATCCAAAAACTTGACACAATTTACAAGAAGCTTTATTTATTTTTCTGTTACTTGAACAAAAATAATTGTAGTCTTCTTACTTCTTCTTATTTTTATTTGTCAAATAAAGGAGTTTTGACCCAGTGTACAACATGGCTGCTAATAATGGAATTTCGAAGAGAAGATGTCATGACTTCCTAGACTGATTCATCAGACGGTTTCACTTCGTGGAAACTGTCTGACCTCGCAGCATTAGGACTGGTTCACTCAATGGCAGGTGGGTACTTTTTTTATTTAATCAATCGCTGCTATTTGGTCATGACGTATGTAATGCGCCAAATCCCGCAAGAAGAAGGACAATAACGTCTTTCCTCTTGATAAAATCCACCAAACATTCTCTTTGTTCCGGCTTTAAATCCTCGACCTTGGGAATCGCTGCCAACACAGAATGTCTGTCTTCGTCTACATCCATCTCGACACTTTGTTTACTGTTGTGCTGTTCCACAAAAGGGACCCAGACAGGTGCTTGAGTTTGACGTCATGGCTTCACAGCTCTTCACTGATTGGCCGGTGCACCGTCTACAACTTCTGAGGTTCTTGCAAATCGTCTAGTGTATTCTGATTCCTGACCTAGTCGCTGGAGAGAAATGAAACTGAGCGGAGGAAATGGGTGGCACCAGACTGTCTAACGATTTCCCACCAAGAAGTAAAACTAAATTTTGAAAATGATCAAATTGGGATTTTTATTTTTTTTATCTAAATAAAATGATCTTAACTGCATTTTAGTAAAAAGAGCAGTCCAATCTGTCGTAGACAATTTAAATGTGTATTACAGTTTATAATATTCAGTTTAATCAATCCCAGGGAAGTGTGAACTTTGCTGCCATTTAACATCTGGGGAGTTCACTGTTTAGCCAGCGCTGGCACATTTAAAGACATGTTTAGTAATCTGCACTGTTCATATTCTAATAAAATTATAAATAAAACTCGCCGCCAAAGGAGACAATTTAGTTTAAACAAATGAGGCAATATAAACGCTTCAACTTTTCCATATCGCTCAACTTCCTCGCCTCTAAAAAAGCACGAGCAGTCACTAATAATTTAATAAAACTAAACATCTAAAGGCCTCAATATTCTTTTTAAAATATTTGTTATACAGGGACAATTAAAACAGTTTTGGCAAAAATGAAATAAACAGAACGCACCTGTTTCTTCTGCAGGAGGATGTACTCTGAATGGTAAATGTGGTCGTTGATTGGATCTTCCACCCACAGCCACCAGGGCTCACCCACCGACCCGTGCACCTGAGGGAAACAACACAAGCCTATGTATTTCTGTTCTGTTTCTAACTTTATATCAAATCTGTTAAATCAAATAAGTTTTTAACATTACCCAGTGAGCAAAAGTGACTTCCCAAACAAACACAAGTACTGCTTTGTGGTTCCACTTTGACTGAACAATATACATCCTGCGTTTTATCAGCGTTAACCAATATTTTCACATTTTACTTCAGATAATGCATGAAAAATTTATACAAAATTGCAATGACTCAGGACTGAGAAAAAAAAACAATTAACTTAGAATCAAAATGTATGTTTTTGGAGTAAAGATTCAGTTGACATTTGAGCTTCTAAACCTGAAAAATCACAGTTATTGATTAAAGCTCACGCCATAAATTTTTCAGTCTTAAACTATTTTTGAACACGCGACAAAAAGCACACAAAAGTCACGCCTCCTCGAACTCGGAGAAGCAAATCGCAGCAAAAATCGGGCAAATTCTCAAATTGTATATCTTTTCCTCTTACCACAGGCACGAGGAGAATCTTATGATATTTTAAATCTCCGATCGCAAAGACTGAAGTAAGATTTGTCTACGGACCACAGGGTATAAAGGTTTGAGCGCGATCTGTTTCACGTCTACAGTAAAACCACTCGCTCTGAGACTCTTTAAACGTTCAAAAGATCAAAACTCTAAACTTCTAGTTTAGATCCAAGTCAAAACTGTTATTATTATTTGTGAAATGTGGTGCAAAACTTCAGATACAAGAATAAAAGATAAAGTTCACACGAAGTAGAGTCACTATCGCGAATCTGCAGCTTCACCTTGATCCATGCACTGTGTGGATGTAAACAGACACGTGAGAAACTACTACTGCCTTTTTACTTTCAAAGAACACCTCAAACTGCATTAAAAGTGCAGTTTTGTGGACAGGGGGTCATTATTTGAAGAGGACAATTTCTATAGATAATGTAGATGTGATGCTGCAGTTTAAATTTACAACTTTACGAGTGGTGAGTAATAAAGTCTTCTCCTTATTTTCACTATAGCCTCTGTGTCCGTCGCTTCTCTGCCCCGGACGCTCTGTTTTATTGTCTGTTCTCATAGTGTTGCTGATGTTTGGTGGTTATGATCTGACAGAGCAGCTCAGAGTCACACTGACACCACACACACGAGGAGCGCAGCGGCTCCTAAAACACACACAAAGTCAGGTCATGCCGACGTTGACTACATTCAGACTGCAGGGCTTAATGCTAAATTCCGATTTTTTTGTGAAATCCGATGTTTTTATGAGGTCGTTCACATTTCCAATTAAATGCAACTTGTATGTGATCTCCAGTGTGAACGTTAAACGTCCCAAAAGTGTCCCACATGTGCACTGGAGAAACGACGACGTCAACTGCAGCGAGCGTCTCTGTGTTTACGGAAGTTGTCCAAACATGGACGCAGCATCGAGCACCTGGAGATTTTAAAGTTCCTCTCGTACCGGAGCCAGAACATGAACAACTTACTTGTTTTAAGGAGGAGATTGAGAAGGAGAAGGACGAGGTTTTTGGTCGTGGTGTTTTGTTGGACAGCGGCAGCGACGTCCGTTGAAAGGAACGTGTGGATGTGGAGACGTCACCAAGAGTGGTGAGTGGTGATGTGCTTCACTTCAGTGACACAGAGTTCATTAACAATTTCCGCCTACTTTAGCGCAGAATAGTGACGTTTGTCGCTTGTTGATAACGTGTAGGTGGATTAATGCACTTTGGCCGTTCAGACAAGTCACATGTCAAAAGATCAGATATGTATCAGTTTCAGGAGCACATATCCAAGTGTCCTGGGTCACATTTGAAAAAATCGGATCTGTGTCATTCAGACTGTCATTAAAAGATCAGATACAGGAACATAGGGGCCAAAAAATCGGATTTGGGTCACTTCAGGCTGCAGTCTGAACGCAGCTTTTGACTCATGTTCAAGAATCAAGTTTTTATCATTTGCAGCTTCTAAAATCAAACCTTTTCTATCTTTTAAACTTTTTGAACAAGTCATGAATGCTTTTATTTCATCACGCCTGGACTATTGTCACATATTTTATTCCGGCATCTCACAAAACGACTACAGTTGGTCGAAAACTCTGCGGCGCGACTTTCAACAGGAACCAAAAGAAGAAAGCACATAACACCAATTCTTGCGTCTTTGCACTGGCTTCCTGTTAATTTTAGAATTGATTTTAAGATTTTACTGTTTGTTTTTAAAGCTCTGAATGGACTGGCCCAGCGCAACGGCTTCGAAATTAAACACGAAGACACAAAGTTGGGTCACGCTTCCTCGAAAGCAAATCGCAGCCAAAATCGTGCAAATTCTCCTGCCTTAGTTTTTGTTGTTATAATTTACATTGTTTATCTTTTGTCTTGCTGAATACTTTTTTAACAAAACTAAAAATTGCTTCTGTTTTCCTTCTTAAACGAGCGAGGTTTGTGTCGTGCCATCCGATCCTCTCTCTTGTCAGTACATGTGTCACTGCTCCTTCTCTTGGATCAGCCCTAAGCCTGGAGGATTGCATTACCTCTGCCCATGTTCACAGCATGTACCAGTCTAATCCTACATAAACATTTAGTCCTGCGACACACAGAGTCTAGTTCCGTCAGTCTGGACTAAGCCCCCCGAGCCCCCCTGTGGCCTTTAGGTTAAAACGGGTCTGACTGGGTTACTCTCGGATCATTTAAGACAAGAACAGAGCCAGTATCCATATTTGTTTTAGACGAACGGTACGAACACGATCCACTTGTCCGTTTATTTATTTGATATTCTGTAGTGACGGGCAAATGAGACGGAGCTCTGGAGCACGTCTCGTTCTTTCTGAAACAAATCGCTCGGAAGCACTGCCCCGGAGCTCGTCTCGCAGCAGCCGCTCACGTGACCGAAGTGTGGAAGTGTGGGTCCCTCCCCCGACTGCTTCGCTCTGCGTGTCGATCGCTTCAGTGTATCGAAGCGTTTCATTGGCTCAGAGAATGTTCCGCTCTGCGATTGGTTCAGAGTGTTCAGCGCACTTCTGTGGTTTGACAAGCGTTAAACTGCTACATAGTGTTGGGGAGTAACAGATTACATGTACCAGAGTTACGTAATCAGAGTACAATTTATGAGTAACGGTATTCAGTTACAGTTACTGTTTCAGTGAGTGGTAATTGGATTACAGTTACTTTGTTGAAATAAAAATAAACCAGGATTAAAACCAGGTCTAAACCGGAGGTATTTCTAAACCTAAACCAGGTCTTTCTAAACCAGGCATTTTGGGTCTAAAATCCCCCCCCCCTAAACCACTTTTTTCTAAACCAGGATCTAAAACCAGGTCTAAACCAGGTCTAAACCATCTAAAACATCTAGTCTAAACCAGGACTAAAAAACTAAACCAGGGCTAAAACCAGGTCTAAACCAGGATCTAAACTAGATCTAAACCAGGACTAAACTAGATCTAAACCAGGCCTAAACCAGGAACTAAAACCAGGTCTAAAACCAGGTCTAAACCAGATCTAAACTAGATCTAAAACAGGTCTAAAACAAGTCTAAAACCAGGACTAAACCAGGAATAAAACCAGGTCTAAACTACATCTAAACCAGGTCTAAACCAGGACTAAACCAGGACTAAACCAGGACGAAAACCAGGTCTAAACTAGATCTAAACTACAAAACTTCATATGTTATGATTTCCTGGTCTTTGCTTCTCTTCAGCAAATCAAGTAATCCAAAGTATTCAGATTACATTACTCACTTTAAGTAATTTAATGGATTCCGATACAAACTACATTTTGGTGTGTGTAATCTGTAATCTGTAGGGGAATACATTTTAAAAGTGACCTTCCCAACACTGCTGCTACAGTATAAAAGATGCACAAATATTTATTAAAAATGTTGGGTAGTGAGGAGTATTGTGTGACGTTAGTGGTGATTTTAGTGACTTTTGGCATTTGTTTCATTTTCGATGGCATCTGCAAGTGGAAAAAAGTGATCCATGATTTGTGATCACTTTGATCTAATTCCACCTAACAAGGTCACACCTGTTTTCTTATTTACATCATGTTATTTATGTTGATCTTTACATATTATTTTAAATCATCATCATTATTATTGTTGTTGTTGGGTTTGGTGTCGCTCTGCACACAACTATTGTCTTACACTAACAATACTTCATCGACGCTGAGACACCTGCGTGACAATGGTTAAATTTGTCCACTAGAGGTCAGTGTTTCTCCGAGGCCTCAGACACGTCGAACCATCTGAGACAATACTGCGACTGAGGTGTCAATGCTTCATCACTAATATTCTGTAATGTGGAATATTTGTGAAAAAAAATACAAGGAGGTACATTGTCTGCTTAAATCAAACCAAACAAACTTGCGATTGAAGGAAATTTTTGACCTATTGGAAAATATGTTTAAACTTACATTGTTATTGTGTACGGTTTAGAATTAAAGCTGCACTAAGCAATGTTTCTTTGGGAGGGTTTGCACTTTAACAACTAGAGTTAGTCCAAAACTCTTAGGTTAAACTCATGGGTTACAGAACAAATTAAAGGTTGTATAGAGGATTTTCCAAGGAACGAGAAATCCAGCGACTGTTTGTCCTTTTTCAAATGTTGCGCATGCGTGAAACCCCCCCCCTCCCCTACAGCTCCTACGTGGAAACGCCTCCTCTCGCCTCCTCTTTACGCCAGAAACAGGTTTGTTTACAGCCGGTGCACATGACTTGTAAACAACTAACTACAGTGTTGGTTAGGCAAGACGGAGAAGTGAGGAGCGGGTGCGCGGACATTTCGTGCGCGGACGAGAAGTGAGGAGCAGGGAGAAGAGCGGATCGGGCAGCGGGGACAGGAGCAGGAAAGGGGTGCAGAGAAGGGTGCGCGGAGATTCCGTGCAAATGAACTAGCTACAACACGCGCAGCAGCAAGCGGACTCTTTCTTTGCCTTGAAAATTACGTTTTCAGACATAGGATATCGCTTTCGTGTCCTGAAAAACGTTTGTCTAACTCTTGGAAATAAAGTACGTTTTCATAATAAGCAGAAGTTTCCTGTCCAGGAGTAATTTGTGGACCAGTGCGTCAGTCTTTAGACCCTGCGTCTGCTTCAGTTGCGCCATCGCTGGAATGAATCTATAAGAATCACCTTAGTTTGGCTTCGCTGCTTTTCCCCTTGTCTTCTTCTTTCAGCGACCTCAAAAACGGACTTTCTTTTGCGGCGAACTGCTCCTGGATTCTTGTCGTCATTGCAACAAACTTTGTGCAAACTGCGAGGAAGATATAGGTCAAAAAAAGCCGCTAAGAACTGTTGCGTTGGTGGAGTAAACAGCGTCTGTGCGTCTTGCGTCTGTGGACTGCGTGACAGGCGTACGTAAACCACGTAACGGCGGCGCAGGCAAGTCAGTTACACTAGAAACGTAGGGAGTTTGATTGACAGCCTGTCAGCTCACAGATAACGAGGCAGTGTCGTTATCTATTGGCAAATGTTTAGCCCCACCACGTCCAGAGTTGATGAATTTTTATTCTCTTTTTTTTTTGGTCATCATAATTACAAGGCTACTGCACCTCTATAATCTATCATTGACAACTTGAAACAAAAAAAAATCCTCCATACAACCTTTAAGACTGTTTTAAGACTGAATAAGAAAGAGTCCTCAAAATGTTGCAGCTGAAACTAATCAAAATAGTCGGGAAAGATTGTTTTATAAATGCAATGAAACGTCTTTAAGACTTGTGATTAAGTCTGTTCATGTCAGAGTTTCTTGTTCGTAAACGTGAGATGTTGTACCTGGTCGTTCCACCTGAAGTCCGGCGTGATGACGAGGCGAACGCGCAGGACGGTGCGTGTGATCGGCTGGATACTCGCCTCCATGGTCACCGAGGGGATCTGGTGAACGCACTGCTTCACCGTCAGACCGATGTTCACGTGGTGCAGCATGTGGCCTGGAAACAACAGAAAACCAGCGTGAAGGAAAACTCAGAAAGACGGATAATAAACCTGGAGTAAACCAGAGCTAAACCAGGACTAAACAAGGATTAAACCAGGACTAAACCAGAGCTGAACCAAGACTGAACCAGGACTGAACCAGGACTAAACAAGAACTAAACAAGGATTAAACCAGGACTAAACCAGGACTAAACCAGGACTAAACAAACCAGGAACAAAACAAGGAAACCAGGACTAAACCAGGACTAAACCAGGACAAGGACTAAACCAAGGACTAAACAAGACTAAACAAGGACTAAACAGGACTAAAAACTAAACCAGGACTAAAAACTAAACAAAGGACTAAACCAGGACTAAACCAGGACTAAACAAAAACTAAACAGGACAAAACAGGACTAAACCAGGACTAAACAGGACTAAAACAGGACTAAACAAGAACTAAACCAGGACTAAACTAAACTAAACCAAGGACTAAAGCAAGACTAAACAAGGACTAAACAAGGACTAAACAGGAACTAAACCAAACAAGAACAAAACAAGGGCTAATACAGGATCAAATCAGGACTAAACAAGGACTAAACCAGGACTAAACAAGGACTAAACAAGGACTAAACCAGGACTAAACCAGGACTAAACCAGGATTAAACCAGGACTGAACCAGAACTGAACCAGAGCTGAACCAGGACTAAACAAGGATTAAACCAGGACTAAAACAGGACTAAACCAGGACCAAACCAGGTTTAACCAAGGTTTAAACCAGGTCTTAACCAGGTTTAAAAAAAAAAAAAAGAGTTGTTTAGTCCCTCGACTAAACAAGGTCTATCCCAAATCTACATTAGGACTAACTCAGATCTAACCAGGGACTGAACGAGATCAAACCCAAGTCTAAACCAGGTCCAAACCAGGCATAATCTAAGTCTAAACCAGCTTTAAACCAGGTCTAAACCAGGTCTAACCCAGGACTAGATCAGGAGATGGAAACACTCAAACCAAATCACCCAGACATTATGTGACAAACGCACTGTAATCCAACTAGTCTGTTTATACTGAAGACTTTTCTGTATAAAAATAAAAATAAAAATCACATTAACTACTACATCATGGAGTTTAGTTTGTGTAGTTGCAGATTTATAAATTGTCACTTCCACTACGTTATTCCCCACATAAGCGAAACTAAAAATAAGTGATGAATAGTGTTTTAGTACCGATCTCGTCCTTCCTCATCTCCTTGAGTTTGTCCACGGTGAGTTTCTTCTCCTCCAGTTTGTTGAGGACGACGGGGCTCAGGTTGGGGAACTGTCTGAGCGGGTGACAGAAACCCCACAGACGCTTGTCGATCACTTTACACAGAGTCAGCAGTCTGTAGGTCATGGTGGGCCAGCGCTTCCTCAGGGCGATCTCGAACAGGGCACGCACGATACGAGCCGCATTCTGATGAAAAAAATAAATAAATACAGTGGGCATGAGAATTTATAGGGTTTGATTGTTACATTTACAGGCAAAATAATAATAATAATAAAAAAATACAAAGGCCATGAGAATTTAAATTTAAAGGCTGCGATTATTACATTTACAGGCAAAAAAACAAACAAAAAAAAACAATGGGCATGAGAATTTATAGGGTTTGATTGTTACATTTACAGGCAAAAAAAATAATAATAAAAAAATACAAAGGCCAAGAGAATTTAAATTTAAAGGCTGTGATTATTACATTTACAGGCAAAAAAACAAAAACAAAAAGTGGAGTGTTAAAACTGACGCTCATAGAATCAGTTTTAACATTTTCTCAGAGTTTATATGAGTCCAATCTGTTCTAGAGTTAATTTAACATTTTTTGGAACTTTTAATTAAGTAACACTGGACCAGAGTTATATTAACATTTTGAGAGTAAATGGATAACACTTTTTTGAGTTATCCTGATTTAACTACACAACAAACAGAGGTGTTTTATTTTTACACTTTATTTTAGTTAGAACAAGGACTAAACCAGGACTTAATCAGACGACTAAACCAGGACAAAACCAGGATTAAACCAGGACTAAACAAGGTCTAAATCAGGTCTAAACCAGGGCAAAACCAAGACTAAACATGAACAACACTGGACCAAATTTCCTGTTTAACCTGAAATCCAGAGCTATATTAATGTTTTAAGAATAAACAGATAACACTTTTTAGAGTTATCCTGATTTAAGTAAACAACACACAGAGGTGTTTTACTTTTTACACTTTATTTTAGTTAATTTAAGATAAAATTACATACAAAACTGGTTTAAACTGGTCTTCTCTCGTGGGAGTTTGAAATGGTGAGTGGAAGGGGCCAAATTAACTCTAAGGGAAGTTGAATTTGATAGATAAATACTTTATTGATCCCCAGAAGAGGAAATTCAGGTGTCCATATAGCTCACATTCACACATTTCATCACACACTAAAAGAGTAAAAAAATTTATAAAAGGCAATAAACTTCAACCATATCAACTCTGGCAAAAAAAAAAAAACCCTCAAACCCCTATTTAACTTTCAAATAGTTAAAATAACACTTTTTTGGGTTAAAAACAACTCTGAGATATTTCAAAAATTTTAAGCCTCCAGTTTTTGCTGTGCAGAAATATTTTAAACACCATGAACTCAAACTGGGAGCAGGCTCACCTCTCCACAGATCTGACCTGTTTGCTGTCATAAAATTAGAAGTTTAATAACAAACTGTACCAATCCACGAAAAGAAACAACATCTCCACTAGAATTAGAACTTTATTTAAATTGTGATGATATTTTTCTTGCACACGCTGATACGATCCATTTAAAATAAAGTAAATGTATTGAACTTATCCTTTCGGGACATCGGGACACCCTAACCATTTTTCCTGTTAGTTTCACATAACAAAGTAATTAATCATTTATTACGTGATTAATTACACAGGCTGGGAGGCGGGTTCAAAGGTCATGAGGAGGCAGTGGTTCTCAGTGATGATTCAGATTGATCAGGTCAGGTGTGGGGTGTTTGATATCAGAGCAGATGAGCAGAGAGGAAACGATTCAGACTTAGGAGGAAAGAACTTTATGTTGTGTTTTGTCAGAGTTTATCAAATACATTTAAAATTTATAATTTTTTAAAACTAAATAAAATAAAAAACATATACATTATACCTTTATCGTGAAAGGTCTTGTACACCTTTTTTCCCCATGTATTTGAGCAAATGTTGTCTTGCACCAGAACAGATACAGTATATTTTATAAGCAGGTCAAAATAAGTCTGCTGTTAGATTAACTGTGAGCAAAACTCAAGAGCAGAGCAGAGTTCTGAAAAGTGCTTACCGTATTTTTCGGACTATAAGCCCCACTTTTTTTCATGGTTTGGGAGTTTCCTGTGACTTATACTCTGGTTCCACTTATATATTAAAATTTTCCCACTGACAGCCTTGAGAGGGCGCTCTAAGCTTATTACTTCTGTACCACTGTCTCTTGGCTCTACTGCGCATGTCTCCTGCAGAAAGAGCCTCTGTCCTGTCTGTGTCATGTCAGTCGATCGCACCATTACTTCTGCACCACTGAAAATGTAAAATTTAAACGAACTTGTTAAGACAATCATGAAACCGTCCTGTCGGGATTCAGAAAGGCCAGAATAATTGTAACTGGAACTGATGCTGAGTCTGACGACAGAGACGTTTTCACAAATAAACCGGACTTTAAATGAAACACAACAGTTGGATGGACCAGTGGTTTTGTTTGTTTGTTCGTTCACGGTGACTCTGGGCTTTGTTCAGTTGTGGCGTGTAGGGAGGGTGTGTCTGGGACCAACGGATTGTCGGCGTGTTCGCAGTGACTCAGTTGTTCTGTTGTGTCTAGAAGCGGCACATTGCACTCGCTTTTTCAGTTCGTTCCTCCGTTCCGTTCCTCGTCGGCGTGGAGTGATGAGTGTGTCTGTGGGTGTTTTTCGCTGTGCGGTCGCTGTCTGCTCCATGTGTGTTTGCGTGCTCTGTGGATGGTGCGGCTTTGTAGTTTACTGAAGTCGTACTGGGACACCCGAGTGGATTCGTGTATAGTTGCGCTCTGGATTGTGTCGTTTTCTTGAAGGGGTTGGAGGCTTAAGAGCGCGTCTAATAGCTCGGAAAATACGGTACTAGAACTTGACTTTCAAGATAAAATATCGATTCCCCCAAAAAGTGAGACGTTTTTTTCTTCTTCGTTACGCATTTTTTGGCTAGTGAAACTTATACTCCGGAAAATTACGGTATAAACTCATCGTGGTGAATAATTAGGGCGCTCTGAATTCATAAGGTAAGTGAGGAATAATGTATCTTTTTTCATGTTTTTGAGACAGTAAAAATCTGTTACAGCAATGAATAAATAAAATACTAAACAAAAAAGGCTCTGATCATCTGTAGTTCTGACCTGAGCGACGTAGGACAGGTCCGAGATGAGGGAGAAGCTGTCCACCTCTCCTCTGCTGATGTACGTCTGCAGCAGGATGTTCACTTTGCCGTAACCGTTCTCCGCTCCCCCGGCGGCCGGCAGCTCGCAGAACGACGACAACATCTGCTCCAGCTCCTCCATCTCCTCGTCACGCACCTGAGACCGAACACGGAGCGGGTGAATTCCAGGCACAAATCTGAATATGAAAGCGGGAACGCGGCCTCACCTTGAGCTGATCGAACTCTTCCGCTTTGGACACGATGCTGAGGATGTCGGCCTCCGTGCGCTGGGAGTTGAACAGTTCATTGAAGGTCTAAAAACACAGAAAACATGAATGATTATCACATTTTTAGGAGAGAAAATCTATAAAAGGTGAACAGAAACCAGGGCAAAACCAGGACTAAACCAAGACTAAACCAAGACTAAACCAAGACTAAACCAAGACTAAACCAGGGCAAAACTAGGACTAAACAAGGACTAAATCAGGACAAAACCAGGACTAAACCAGGACTAAACCAAGACTAAACCAAGACTAAACCAGGGCAAAACTAGGACTAAACCAGGACTAAACCAGGACTAAACCAGGACTAAACCAGGACTAAACAAGGACTAAACCAGGACTAAACCAGGGCAAAACTAGGACTAAACCAGGACTAAACCAGGGCTAAACAAGGACTAAACCAGGACTAAACCAGGACTAAACCAGGGCAAAACTAGGACTAAACCAGGACTAAACCAGGACTAAACCAAGACTAAACCAAGACTAAACCAGGGCAAAACTAGGACTAAACCAGGACTAAACCAGGACTAAACCAGGACTAAACCAGGGCTAAACAAGGACTAAACCAGGACTAAACCAGGGCTAAACAAGGACTAAATAAGGACAAAACCAGGACTAAACCAGGACTAAACAAGACTAAACCAAGACTAAACCAGGGCAAAACTAGGACTAAACCAGGACTAAACCAGGACTAAACCAGGACTAAACCAGGACTAAACAAGGACTAAACAAGGACTAAATCAGGACAAAACCAGGACTAAGCAAGAACAAAACCAGGACAAAACCAGAACAGAACCAGGACTAAACCAGGACTAAACCAGCAGACTAAACCAAGACTAAAGCAGGACTAAACCAGGACTAAACCAGGACTAAACAAGGACTAAGCAAGAACAAAAGCAGGACTAAACCAGGACAAAAACCAGGGTGAAACCAGAACTAAACCAGGACTAAACCAGGACTAAACCAGGACAAAACCAGGACTAAACCAGGACTAAACAAGGACTAAACAAGGACTAAATCAGGACAAAACCAGGACTAAGCAAGAACAAAACCAGGACAAAACCAGGACAAAAACCAGGACAAAACCAGAAAAGAACCAGGACTAAACCAGGACTAAACCAGCAGACTAAACCAAGACTAAAGCAGGACTAAACCAGGACTAAAACAGGACTAAACAAGGACTAAGCAAGAACAAAAGCAGGACTAAACCAGGACAAAAACCAGGAGAACTAAACTAGGACTAAACCAGGATTAAATAAGGACTAAACCAGGACTAAACCAGGACTAAACAAGAACAAAAATAGTATAAAACCAGAACACAACCAAGACAAAACCAGGGCACAACCGGGACAAAACCAGGACAAAACCAGGAGACTAAACTAGGACTAAACCAGGATGAAACCAGGACTATACCAGGACTAAACCAGGACTAAACCAAGACAAACCCAGTACAAACCCAGGACAAAACTAGGACAAAACAAGAAGAAAACCAGGACAAAAATGGGACTTTTAAATAAGTACATTTTAAAAGTGTGCACACCCGTTCTTGTAAATCCGGAGTATTTTTGTAAACACAAGCTTGTGAGTTTTACCTCGATGGTGTTGTATTTGATGTAGAAGTGGCTGGCGGTCCTGCCCAGGTCTGTGGAGGCGAAGTACCCGGTCCTCTCCTCAAACCGAATCATTCTGGCTTTGTCCAGTTTCCTCCCGCACTCGATCACCAGCTCCTTCCTGTACAGCTCCAACGAAGGGTCCATCTGAAAACAACATTACAATTATACAACTTTGATATGAATAAGGACACTTTTTATTTTTTTTGCCACATTTCTAAACGATGGAGAAGGAAAAACGGCAAGTAAAAAATATTCAGAGCTGGATTCCTGTGATCTTTCTGTGTGGAGTTCAGATTTGAAGTTCACATTTGAATCAGAATCAGTGTCAAGGGAAAGTTAAGTTTGATTATTTATGATCCGCAAGACAAATTTATCCTCTGCATTTGACCCCAATTCTCCAATACCACTGGGTAACTTTTCAGGAGCAGCGGGCGACTGCAGCGAACCCATGTCCCATCAAACCTGGAATCTTCTTGCTTCTAAATCTTTAAAATTTTGGTAAACAAGGACAAAACCAGGACTAAACTAGGAATAAATCAGGACTAAACAAGAACAAAACTAGGACTAAACCAGGAGTAAACCAGGACTACACCAGAACTAAATCAGGACTAAACAAGAACAAAACCAGGACAAAACAAGAATTAAACTAAGACTAAACAAAGACAAAACCAGGGCTAAACCAGGACTAAACCAGGACAAAACTAGGCCAAAACCAGGAAAAAAACAAGAACTAAACCAGGACTAAATCAGGACTGAACCAAGACTAAACCAGGACAAAACCAGGACAAAACAAGAATTAAACTAAGACTAAATCAGGACTGAACCAGGACTAAACCAGGAAAAAACAAGAACTAAACCAGGACAAAATTATGACTAAACAAGGACAAAACCAGGGCAAAACCAGGACAAAACCAAGACTAAAGCAGGACTAAACAAGGACTAAACCAGAACTAAATCATGACTAAACCAGGACTAAATCAGGACTAAATAAGGACTAAACCAGGACAAAACAAGGACTTAACAAGGACAAAACCAGGACTAAACCAGGACAAAACCAGGACAAAACCAGGCTAAAAACAGGAAAAAACAAGAACTAAACAAGGACTAAATCAGGACTAAACCAGGATTAAACCAGGACTAAACCAGGACTAAACTAGGACTAAACCAGGACTAAACCAGGACTAAATCAGGACTAAACCAGGAAAAAACAAGAACTAAACCAGGACAAAATTACGACTAAACAAGGACAAAACCAGGGCAAAACCAGGACAAAACCAAGACTAAAGCAGGACTAAACAAGGACTAAACCAGAACTAAATCATGACTAAACCAGGACTAAATCAGGACTAAACAAGGACTAAACCAGGACAAAACAAGGACTTAACAAGGACAAAACCAGGACTAAACCAGGACTAAACCAGGACAAAACCAGGACAAAACTAGGCTAAAAACAGGAAAAAAACAAGAACTAAACAAGGACTAAATCAGGACTAAACCAGGATTAAACCAGGACTAAACCAGGACTAAACCAAACTAAACCAGGACTAAATCAGGACTAAACCAGGAAAAAACAAGAACGAAACCAGGACAAAACTGGGACTAAACCAGGACAAAAACCAAGCCAAAACCAGGACTAAACCAGTACTAAACAAGAACTAAACCAGAACTAAACTTCTTGCTGTGAGTAGAGAACAAACCACTGAGCCATCGTGTCTAGTTTTGATAGTTTTATTGATTCACTTAAATTCTTTTCTCTTAATCTTTCTTTCTTTATCTGGAAATTCAATGATAAACAAAAAAGTGTAATGAGTTGTTGCGTTACATTCTGCCTTTACCCACCTTTGTATTGTAAAAAAAAAAGTAAAGTCTAAACTACACTAAACCTTTTTCAGATACTAATGAGAGAAACTTCGTAGAGTTCGGTGAGTTTTTGTGAGTGTTACCTGGTAGGCCTTGTGGTTGATGCCGTAGGCCAGAGGGTTGGCTCTCATTCGGACGTACAGATACGTGTAACTGAGCCACTTCACCGCCTCCTCCACGTTCGTCACTGTCCCCAATGCAATCTGAGAAACGGAAAAAAAAAGAAGTAGGAATAAATCAATATTGTCACTAAACCAGACAGGATATCATGCCAAACCTACACCTTTAATAAAAAATAAATAAAAAAATAATGTTGGCCTGTGGGTTATTATTATTATTATTATTATTACATATAAAAATAACTAAATCATGCAATAAAAAAAATATCTTTAACTGAATTAATCTATCAACAGTGAACAGTAATGCAGTGTTAAATCTGATGACTGGTCTCTGTCTCCATCTAGTGGAGAAGAGCAGGAAGTACACCCAAGATGTGCTGTCATTTAAAATTTCATCAACAATAGCTTCTTGAATCTCTGAGGAACAAATGCTTGAATGGGTTTGCAAACAAATACCTGTAAATATTGTCCTTATTGCATAGTATAATGTGTATAAAGTAAAATATGGTGAATTGTTGCACTGCTTGATAAAATTATAAAGTATTCGTGGGTTTGGGCTTGATGGACAATTTGAGAAAAATTGGAGATTGTGATTTTTCTGGTAAGCACTGCGATTGCAATTTATATTTTAATAAAAGGATTTTGGTTTTTGGTTAACATGAACAATAGAAATAAAGAATATGAAGTGACAAACTGACACAAGAATTACATTTCAGAACATGTTTGTATAGATGTAAACTACAGGGTTAATGTTTTTTTGTTTTTGTTTTTTATAATATGGAGGTACTTTTCTCATTAATATCCACAACCGCACAGATGGTGATCTACAAAATATTGGTCACTGATTTGTACATGTGCAATACCTACGTGTATTTTGGTATTTCTATCTTTTTTCATATGCAAAAAATAATTTCATATTTTAATTTTTGTAAAACTGAAAATTCTGTTCTTAAAATGTGATTTGTGAGTCTTAATAATAAGTATGACCCAAAAAAGTCCTGATTAGATATTTCTGTTTGTCACTAGACGCAATTTATTTCAAGTTAAGACCGTGTTTTGCGGAGGTGGTCTTTAAAAGGAAGATACAATATAATTTTAAAATAATGTATTGTGGAGATTTAGTTTTATTGCACCTTTCTAAAGCAGATTTATACTTAATGAGAGTTTTACTGGTGGCTGCCAAAAAAGGAATAACTCCTTAGACAGGAAACACCTACAATAAATGAATGGATTGACTTGATATATAATATTTTTTTTAAATGGAAAGGATTACATTTGAGTTGAAGCTACAGAGTGATATATTTGAAACCTATTGGTCAAAATGGATGAGGTATGTAACGACAAAAGGACCCAACTTTGTATGTCTTTATATTTACCCCCACTGTCTTGTTTTGTTTTGTTCTTACTGTTTGAATGTTGTCTGTTTTTAATGTGTGTCTTTATACAAGATGGAAATCCAATAAAAAGTGAATGACAAAAAAAAAAAAAATAAATAAATAAAAAAAGACCATGTTTTGCTTCAGACCCAATACTAGCGCTGGGCGATATGGAGCAAAAAATATATCTTGACATATTTTGCTGTATCTTGATCTATGATATATATCTCGATATCTGTACAGGAAAAAACATGTATTTTGGCCTTTACAAATAGATGTGTATTTGTAAATATATCTTTTTTCATATGCAAAAAATAATTTCATTTGTAAAACTGAAAATTCAGTTCGTAAAATGTGATTTGTGAATCACCAGTTACATGAATTCACAGATTTCTGGTATGATTGATATTAAGTTATTTATGGGGGAAAAAATGGCATAGTTAAAAAAAAAAAAAATGGCAATGCATCTATTCAAATTATGATAAATCTCATAATCCTAGTTCATATTTTGTTTTTAATTGTCAATCCCCAAAGCAACGAGCCTAATTACTCATCATATTGAAAATTATATTAGACTAAATCGTTACGTATTGGAATCACGATACAAAGAAGACACAGATTTAAAGAACAGGTATTACAATTCTATGGAGGATTACCGTATTTTCCACACTATAGGGCGCACTTAAAAGCCTTTAAATTAATCAAAAAGCGACTGCACGCCTTATAATCTCAAGTGCCTTATATATGAATTTATTGTTGTGTCTTAGTACGACTTTAGTAAACTACAAAGCCGCTCCACTTGCAGCATTACGGCTCCCGTAGTCAGGAGCATCAGGAGTAAAACATACTGTGGTTCCTTTTAAAATCAAAATGCACCTGTCAAGAGACACGCTTACAACACTGACTTTAAACTCAAGATTGTTATAAAGTGAAAGTGTGAGCTGCGTGGGAGCAGTGGATGAGAGAAGGAGAGCACACATTCACCAAGACAGGAAGACAGCGCCGAGCGACTTACGCCACGATCTGCCGACGGATCGGGGACGCCAGGGCTAAGGATCAGTATCAACTGTGGTTCGAGCTTTCACCAAGACCCGAATCATCACTGAACTGACAGGGAACAGTAACCACACTGACACGGATAATGACGAGAGCCGTAATCGCCCAACTGTTTGAACAATTATTGAGTTATTGTGAATACACTCACAATTTACCCTCTCAGAAAATATTTTATTTTACGCGTTACAATTGAACAAAGTTGAGAGTTACTGTGAACGCGTTAAATAAATTTGACTGACTTATCTAACTGTTGTGTTTCGTTTAATGCGCCTTATAATCCGGTGCAGTTTATATGTGAAAAAGGTTTGAAAATATACCATTCAATGACAGTGCGATTTATAATCCAGAGCGCCTTATAGTGCAGAAAATACGGTAATTGCTTTTTTATATTTCTGAAAAATGGCTGTATGGGTGACATAGACAGAATCGCACCACTAAACGCAAAGAGGGTTCAAATAGGGCCCAGGAAAGATCGCTGGATTACTCAAACATGCAGGGATGACATATAAAACCACTTCAGGAATGTTTGTGATAAGGAAACAGCACTATAACATTGCAGAAAGTAAATTTTGCACAATTTATATGTTTAATTAATATGAAACAAAACATAAATTATTTGTTGATTTTTCCTGTGAATGCAGCTGCCGTGTCTGACCTAACCTGAGCTCACTGTTGCATTATTGTCCCAACTCGAAGTGTGTCGGTTTCTCCCAAAATTTGACTTTTAAATAAAAACCTGAGTGTGGATGAGGCAGAGACGTCTCGACAGGTGCAGACGGCGACAGGTGTAAAATAGACCGCGAGCTGACAGTTTGTAATTAAAAAAATATGATGAAATCGTCTGAAATAAGCAGCTGCCGAATGATAAAGTCACACAGATTCAGTGTGTGTCACTGTGCGAGTGGGATCTGCACTAGACTGCTCTATCTGGACTTCATTTCACAGGGTCATTTTGGGTCACGCCTGTAGTGAAGTAAATTATAAGATTATTATGTTATAAAATGTGCGAGGTTTACCAGATGAGTCCATTTCTAACTCTAATACATACATTAATCCACTATGTGCTTTAATACTACGCAGTATAATCGCCTAATGCCTGAACAGAGCAGAGCGAGCTTCACTTCTGAACTCTGGAGGCAACGGAGGAACTGTTTATATGAACTATAGACCATTATTACCAGATTTTTCAAACTATAAGTAGCACTTTTTTTCATGGTTTGGGTGTTTCCTGTGACTTATACTCCGGTGTGACTTATATATTAAAATTGTCACCCTGAAGCTGTGAGAGGCTGTAGTCTTGTGTGTCAGTATCTGCTGCTCCTGTTCCTCCTGTACCACTGTCACTTGGCTCTACTGCGCATGTCTCCTGCAGAAAGAGCCTCTGTCCTGTCTGTATCATGCCAGTCGATCGCACCATTACTTCTAAATTTAAACAAACTTATAAAGACGACTGAGAAGACTGAACACAAATGTCCCAAAAAGAAAATCAGATTTTGGAGATTAGAAGCTGCAAGTCATAAAATCTGCATCTGAAAACGGTAATCGAGCTGGAGAAAGAAAGTTTGGAGTGAGAGAGAAACTTGTGACACAGGGAGGATGAACCATGAAACTTTCCTGAAGTCACTGGATGGATGGACAAAACCTGGACTTCAGTGACACCGAAACCATCCTGTCGGGATTCAGAAAGACCCGAATAATTCTAACTGGAACTGACGCTGAGTCTGACGACAGCGACACAGAAGAGGAAGAGGAGCTCTGTTTACATCACGGATCTGTGGTTTATCTCGGGAGGTCAAGCAGATGTGACACCGAGGATGAAGAATTCAATGGATTTAGTGATTTGGAGTGAGATCGTGAGTCTGGTAAACTTATGTTCTGTTGTTTATGCTATAATTATCTGAATAACTGTTAATATATTACGTTAACATATTAACTCCTGTTCAGTCTGTTGTTCTCTGTTCTGTTGTTTTTACTGTAACTTGCCTTTCAAGATGAAATGTCAGTTCCTGGTCTCTGATTTTATAAAATACATTTCCCCAAAAAGTGCGACTTATATATGTTTTTTTCTTCTTCATTGTGCATTTTTTGGCTGGTGCGACTTATACTCCGGAAAATCACAGTAAGTTGTACACGCTAAGCATTAGTTGGTATTAGTTATATATAAGTTACTAATATGTTACAGGGCTGGGTATCATTACGAAGTTGCCGATACGATACATAACTCAATACAGTGCACTTTCGATTCGATATGATATATTTCAAATTGATTCAATACAGATCAATTAAAAATAAAGGCTAAATCATGTCTGTGACACTAAAAGTCTTTGTTAAACCACTTCTTGTGCAAAGTTCATATGAAACACAAACATTTTAATCCTCAAAACAGTGAAATTGTCAAATGTGTCGCATAAATGAGTTTCCTTCCTCTAAATAAACAACAAAACTGTAGCTGTAACAAAATAATTTTGTAAAATATACCTAAAAATACTGTTGGCGATATATCGATACAGCAGCCCATGATATCGATACCATATTATCACATTAAACGATACGATATCTCGATATTTCAATATTTTTGCAAACCCCTAATATGTTATTTATACATATACGCCCAAAAATGAAAAAAAAAAAAATACAGACAGTTCAATGTATGCCAGCATTTTAGGGAATTTCTGGCATAATATAAGACCTTTAAGTTTTGTTGTAGTCCTGGGTGTTATCGCAGTTTTGATCTAAGTTATCAAATATTGCATTTTGATTTCATATTGAACAGTGAAATCATGTAATGTGACGTCGTCCCGTCTCGAGTCACTGACCTCGGCGTTGAGATTGTCGGCCAGGCTGTCGAGAAACTGGCTCTCGATGGGGTTCTGCTGCGTGAGGAGCGTCAGGTAGTGGCTCAGTTTCTCATGCGAGGTGATGATGGTTCCTTCTCCAAATTTGTCAAACTGAGGTCTGCCGGCGCGACCGAAAATCTGCATCACATCCAGAATGCCCAGGTCCACCAGAGAGCCGCGCTTGGCATCGTAGATCTGAGTGCCCTGTGACAGAAAACATATGAGAGATGAGGCGAGCGCAGACAGATGGCATCGTGGAAACAGATGGGACAAGTCCTGGTTTTGTTCAGTTTTAGTTTAGGTTGGTTTCACGCTTGTCCTGGTTAGATCGTGTCCTGATATAGGCTTGGTTTGGTCCTGTTCTAGTCCCAGTTTAGTCCCAGTTTAGATGTGGTGTGAGTATGAACGCGAGTCCTTGTCCTGTTTTTTGACCTGCATCAAAGGCATTTAGACAAAAATTGACATAAATAAAAGCACGTTTTATGGTATTGTTTTATTTTGGATGTTTTCTTTGCACTGAGGCCTTGCATTTCTCCAAACCTGACTCTTATTTTGCCTGGAGGAGGGGCTCCACCTGCTTGTTTCCATGGAAATGTTGTTCTTTTAACATTCCCCATGTGTCAAAAAAGGTATCTAGTGCCATCGAAAATGTTCTTAAGCGCAGTTTTCACCTTCTAGTTTCCATGGAGTCATGCAGATGATATTCCACCTTCACAAAGTTACACAGTGTTAATTTAATAATAAGTATGACCCAAAAAAGTCCTGATTAGACCAGAGGGAGACTTTAGATAATTCTGTTTGTCACTAGACTCAATTTGTTTCAAGTTAAGACCATGTTTTGCTCAATCATTATGGCTTCAGAATAGGGATGTAACAATAACCAAAATATCGTGATATCGTATCGTTAGAGTTCTCACAATAATATCAAGGACCATCACAATATATCAAATTACAAGTCTCTTTGCTTAAATGAAGAGTTATGGTGCAGCGTAGCTACAAAAAGACAGAGGGAACTACATAGACCATGATCCTTTGCTCCATTTCAGTGCAGACTACAAGAAGAAACACCAGTTCTAAACACTTTTAAGTCTTAGTTCTTTGGATTAAGTCTTGTCAAGGCATTTTAAGAGGAAAAAGAAGCATATTAGCCTCCACAAAACATCATACTGTGAGGTGTATATCGTGAAAAAATCGTACCGAGAGATTTGGATATTGTTACATCACTAATCGTGAGCTTTCCCTCGATATCGCAATAAATATCGTTCCGTGAGGTTCATACCGTGATGATATCGTATCGTGAGACTTGGATATCGTTACACCCCTACGTCAGACCCTATACTAGCTGGGCGATATATTGATATATTTTGCTATATCTCGATATGCGATATATATTGCAATATCTGTACAGGAAAAAATTGACCCCCCAAAACTACTGCAAAAACAAATCTGCCAAATTCCACAAGGTCTTTTTTATTGAAATGCAAAGAGGTCGGCAGTTCATGTAAGGAAATAATGCTTCTGCGACATTTAAAAAAAAATTAAAATAAAAAATTCCTGTATACAAAAATAGCTGTAAAATAAAAGAAGAAATAATACATATTCCCTTCTTCTCATTCAAAAATAAAACAACTCTACTCAAGCTCATTGTTGCTTTAACTCTGTTAACTGTACAGTAAACAGAACCATGAGCTCCTTCAGCAGAGGAAGCTCAGGAGGTTCCTTAGTTTAGATGCATGTTCCTAACCCGCGGTAAGGAGCTCTGATGTATCCCACAATCCACTGCGCAGATCAAACCGATCATTTCTAAACACTACTGTACAAGTTTTACACTGCAGCAGATTATTAACTAAAATCTTCTGCATAAATAAACTTTATAACATATAAACCATAACTATTAGAGCCACACCAACCTGTTTGAGATTATAATGTGTTTAATGCAGCTTTGTGCATTTGTTTACATTTTACAGAAACAAAACTTAAAATCACATGGCTTATTTACATAAACTAAAGCTCTGAAAAAACTGCTCGCTCCTTGTGTGCTGATGCGATTCAGCTTCTGTCGGACTAAAAAAGGACACGACTCAGTGGAATATGCGTGTTCTTTCTGTGACAGACGATGTGCTGCTGATGGTGAGTCTGTAAATGGTGGAAAAGGTTTGTGGTGCTAGAAGCTTTTGGTTTCGGCAACTTTTGGCATTCAGGGCATTAGTGAGTACTGAATGAGACAAGCGGAGGGGGAACAAACTCTAGGAGGCGGAGGCGAAAAGCAGAGCACGTGCAAGCAGGGAAAAGCAATCAGACAGCAACAGGAGTCCAGCCCGTATTACATGATCATTATATCCACAATGTAATGTGTGTATTTGTACAGGCCCAAGAACATTTGTGTGATATTGGTCACACATGAGAATGTCTGTGTTTACTAGTGTGTAACCAAAATTTTATTTTTCATGAGTTGTGTATATGTTAGTTGTGTGACTGTAGATCAGTGTGTTGTGTATCACCAGAAAAACATGAAATGGAAATTATTTTCGTTCCAATTAGAATTTTAACGGCTACACTGAAAGAGAAAGGAACTGTAATAATTAGTGATTATCTCGAAAACGTTTAATATTTTACTCTACAAATGCATAGAATTATAAATACATAATAATTTTTCTGAGATTTTGAGACACTCCCGTCGCTCGAGTTCGATCCTTCGCGGAGTTATGACCAAAAATGCATATTTGACCTTGGTTACCTTGACCTTCAGGTGACTTTGACCTGTAACATCCAGTGTACCCCGGTTATGTGTGTGCCAACTTGTGTGATGATTGGGTGAAAATTTTAGGCCGCAGGTGGTTCAGAAATGACTTTTCAATTGAACCATGTGACCTTAAATGACCTCAGATCATCACCAAACTTTTTTTTGTGGCATCAGGCACGGGGGCTTGACCCACGTACTAAATTTGGTGACAATCGGTCCATAAATGGCGGAATTATCGTGAGTGGACAGACACACAAACACACGCATAAAGAATCCATTTTGTGTTTAAAAAATAACTCGATATATTTAAATATTGAGATATCGCCCACCCCTACCCTATACACAAACAGTAGCAGTAGCAGTAGTTTTAGTAGTAGTAGTAGTAGCAGTAGTAGTAGTATTAAGAAGTCTGTTCAGAATACAATGGTTAAAAATGACTGTGATATAAATTTGATAGTATCTGGCTCGTGAGTTGGCACGGTTTCTGCTCTCGCTGCAGAATGGACAGAGAGGGACATTTGTGGAGGGTAAAAGTGCGTTGATATAAGATTTAAATGTTCTTGGCATAAAAAGTGATGGAAGTTTGAAGAGAAGCAGACTGTGAATAAGTCGTGGGAAAGAAACGCGTGGGAAGAAAATGAACTTAACCGCATCTGATACAAGTTTTGCAGTTTATGTCATGTAGTTTCAACATCTTTTATGTGGTTATCTGACGGCTCTGTTACATTACTACTGTTCTGTGCTTGGCAAGACACATTTACACATTTTAACCTCGACTGTGCGACTGTGTTAAAATGGTAAGAGGCAGTGGAGAGATGGCAAACAATTTGTAATAATGAATGATTGAGTCCAAAAACAAAGGCATGCATATATTGTTTAAGTGAAAAAGCTTAAATATAAAGTAGCACTGTGGAAATATTATTAGAAAGAGACTGGAAATGGAAAGAAACACTGAATGAACAATGAACAAAATGAAATGTACATTTCAGTAAACTGAATATTTCAAAATTTATTTGACATAAATCGTAAGCAGACGTAGGGCTGGGTGATATGGAGCAAAAAATATATCTCAATATATTTTGCTATATCGCGATTAGGGATGGGCATTCAATGAAGTTTCATTAATCGATTGTCGGGAGAATTAACGACTGATTATCGAATAATCATTAATGTTGTTATACTAAAATGGTCATTATTATACTATTACTAATCTGCCTAAATAAATTCAACTTTACAACATATAAACCATAACCACTATAGAGCCACATCAGCCCGTTAGAGATTATAATGTGTTTAATTCAGGTTGCGCAAATCTCACAGAAACAAAACTTAAAACCACATGACTCATTTGCATAAACTCAGTAAAAAAACAGCTTGGTCTGAGTGACAGCGAGCTATGAGAGCCGCTCAATTTAATGGACCAATAAAAGGAAATTAAAACCTGAACATTTGCATCACTTTATTAAAAAAAAAAAAAAACCTGGATGGCCACAACAGGACGTGGAAAACGGACGTGTCTGGGGAAAAACGGACGTTTGGTCACCCTACGCTATGCATAGCAACCTACATTCGGTTTGTCGATTAGAAATGAACGTAATCGCCGAAATTCTTAATAATCAGTTATCGATTAATCGACTAATCACGCCCATCCCTAATCTCGATATACAAAATATATCTTGATATGTGTACAGGAAAAATAACCCCCTAAAACTGAAAACTGCAAAAATAAATATGACAAATTCCACAAGTTCTTTTTTATTGAAGTGCAACAGGTCGGCAGTTCATGTAGGAACAAAGTGCTTCTGCCACATTTAAGCTTTTTACTGGTACCAACATTCGGTATTCACAGCAGTAGTGAGGAATGAATGAGACACAAGCGAGCAAAATCAGGGAGGTGGGAACGTGTGGGGGCGACAACAGAGAAGGCAAACAAGCGAATCAGCGAAATAAGAATTGAATATACGCTTTTTATAGATATATACGATATGTCAGAATCCATATCGAGTTTTAAAAATATCTCGATATATTTAAAATATCTCAAAATCGCCCACCCCTAACCAGACGTCTCTATTTACCTATTTACCTCTATTTGTCTGCGCGCTGGTTCTGTGCCGGGAAAGTGAGAATGCACTGTGGACTACAGGTCCAGATCTGCTCCGGTCCTGCGCACTCAAGAACCGCGGCTGGTTCCGAGGTGGTGCAAAGCATCCAACTGATGCTTTAACACCAACGAAAACGAACCGAACTAAGAGCTTTTGGTTCAAATGGACCAGGTCCGGGACCAGACCGCAGGCTCAGAGCTCACGGCAGGGCTGGAACACGAAGCTGAGGCTCGGACCCCGCGGAGGCTCGGAGTCAAAGCTCGGAGTACGCTCTGGTCCCGCTCTGGTCCCGCTCTGGTCCCGCTCTGGTCCCGCTCTGGTCCCGCTCTGGTTCCGCTCTGGTCCCGCTCTGGTTCCGCTCTGGTCCCGCTCTGGTTCCGCTCTGGTTCCGCTCTGGTCCCGGTCTGGTCCCGCTCTGGTCCCAGTCTCAGTCCCACTCTGGTCCCGGTCTGGTTTCGAACCTGGATCAGTCCTGGTTCAGTCCGTACGTGGTGCAAAAGTCCGGCATCGCAGTCACTGAAGTCACGTAAATGGGAAACGACCGTCATCCGTTTTTTCCATTCTTCGCTTAAATACAAAATCGAAAATTGAAAAAACGAATTGTTTTCCGTTTTTTCATTTTGGGTTTGGAGACAAATAGTGAAGAAAACTGTTGTTTTTTCGTTTTCTTATTTTTGGTTTTATATTGAAAAACGAATGATACACGGATTCTTGTGTTACGAGATCTTGTACCATCCCAAATGACCAGGATGTTAAGAATGTGCAAAACGTTTACAGTTGTGTTTTCATATTTTAAAAAATCAGGTACAGCATCTTCAAGCCCCGTCAGCCCCCAAAACAAAAACTCATAATAATAGAGAAACCCGCTCGTACCTTGATGATAACGGCGTGCGCGGGCAGGTTGACGCCCCAGGCCAGTGTGGCGGTGCAGACCAGGACTTTGAGGTACCCTTTGGAGAACATGCTCTCCATCAGACTGCGGTCGGAGCGCAGCATTCCCGCGTGGTGGATCCCGAAACCCTCTGGAAACATCTCCTTCATCTGCTTGTTCCTGGAGCGCTGGACCTGAAGAAAAACAACAACAAACAAGAGAAAAGACACTTAGAACAACACATATTCAGAATGTTATACAGTACAATCATATTATACTCTGTTTGTTGAACATCTTTGCCAAAACTAGGGATTCAACCAAGAACTAGTAATCTGTGCGTTCTGGAAAAGTCCAAAACGGCCATCTGGTCTACCTGCTGTCGGCTGTACAAACAGCAGAGGGCGCTAATACGACAATTTACCCATTTGTCAAGCATAAACTGTACAGGCTTAAAAGGCGACAAAGAAGAGTGGGTTATTCGTTGTCAAAGATGTCGAACAGAAAACGTAAGGAGAAAGGTGGAAGGGAAAAGGTTAAAGACAAAAAACTCACTTCAAAATGTGTGATTCAGGTATTTTTGTTATTAAACAATCAGTAGTTAATCTTTGTGTGTTTTCTTCAATTATTTCATTATTGGTTTATTGAAGTGATTCATTATTAATTATTTAAATTATCAACCCATCTAACTTTTAAATATTTTAGAATCGCTTTTGGCTTTACTTCGGCTTTAATCAAATGCGTTCGTATACACACCCATGAAGCAACTCGCAATATACACGATCTTTTTCTTACACTTTGGCTCATAAGTTTTACTCAGAAAATGGTCTGTTGAGACATTTCTGTGTAATATAACATAGTTTGAGTGTGAAGAAAGAGGATGAGAGAGCTGTAGGGGGCAGTGTGGGCGGAGCTACGTACTGTCTCTGCTGGTGGAGGCAGAACAGCATCGACACAGACATGAGGCGTGTGCAGTGAGACTCAGGAGGAAAATAAACCATCAAATCATCATCAAAGAAGGAACAGTCTGATAGTATAACTCCCCTAACGCTCTATATTAAGAGTAGACTGGCTATATGATCAAATATAAAATAGTCTGAGAAACTCTGTTCTTATTTTCACTGAATTCAAATTCTGAGCCGCAAATCACTGAACCAAATGAACTAAAACACGTCACATATAAACTGGGAGACACTGGGGAAATCAGGGGCCACAGGGGGGCTCCAGTCACAAAAAAACTGTCCTTGTGTCCTTAGGCAAGACACTTCACCCACATTGCCTAGTATGAAAGTGGTGCGAGCGTGAGTGATGGTGGTGGTTAAAGGGACCAATGGCGCAGATTGGCATGGCAGCCGCGCTTCCGTCAGTATGCCCCAGGGCAGCTGTGGCTACAATAGCAGTTTACCATCACCATTGTGTGGAGAGAAAAGAATAATGAATCTATAATGTTCTGTAAAGCGTCTTTGTGACATATGTCTGTGAAAAGCGCTATATAAATAAAGACTTACTTAATGTATTTTGTGTAATGTTTCATTCATATCATAGTCTTATTTATTATAGCAGAAAAAAAATGACATGAGTTTTTTTGTTTTTGTTTTTTTTTGCATCTTAAAACATCAAAATCAAATTGATATTGTGACCAGTGAATCGAGATAAACATCAAATCGTGGGAAAACTGTATCACTGCATTCTGAATAGTGATGACACATTTAAGGCCACATTTAAGAACACATTTTTACAGTAATTATCTCCAAACGTAACCAACTGTAAAGCGCGTTGGGCATCTTGAAAGGAGCAATATAAATGCAATCAATCACTTTATTTAATCACACTGGATCTTCTCTGTTAAAATACAGCAGTTACACTCCAGCACGATTCACCAACTCACAGAACGAATGCAGGTTTTTCAATGCAATTTTCAAGAAATAAAAACACCGTGGACCATTCAAGGCGACGCATTCAGTAACATCTCCATGGAAACGAGCATGTGGCAGACCCCCCCACCAGCAAAGTTACACAGTGCACCTTTAAATGAGGCTTTAGACCAGGGGTGTCAAACTCATTTTGGTCCGGGGGCCGTATCCAACCTACTTTGATCCCAAAGGGGCCGGATCAAAAAATTATTGGAATATAAACCCCAAAAATAACAATAAGATCAAATATTTGTGCAGAGAAACACAAATCTATTATTGAAATCTTTTCTAACTGATGAACTTTTTCTTTTACAAAATATTATAATATTATGAACAACCTGAAACTTTAAGAAAAATGCAATTTCAACACAAAGTTTTAACATGAACTTGTATGTAAATAGGAATAAGTCAATTTTTGTTGGAAAATCCTGCACTCGGCTTCACTTTTCTCATTTTGACATTTTTTCTGATGAGGGTGTCACGGTCAACAGTCAAAACGATCGTCCTTTAAGAGCGTTTGGAAAGAGACAAGTCTTCATTTGTGCTGCTCTGGTGGGAGGGGCCACGTACAGAGACGCTGTAGATGCTGCTGTGATAAACACCGCAGAAAATTACCAATATTTTAATAGAAAATATAATTAAAATATTTCAGTAGAAAATCAGCCGAGGGCCAGATTAAAGGTCTTGGAGGGCCGGATCTGGCCCCCGGGCCATATGTTTGACACCCCTGTTTTAGAGGGTGTTTTTTCCCTTCTGTATGCTCCCTCACTCACTCCCTCCCTCTTTCTTTCCTCCCTCCAACCTCCTCAATCTCATCTCTCTTTTTTCCCTTTTCCTCTCTCCATATATACATCCTCTTTCAAACTCCCACCTCACTTATTTTTTTCCTCCTTCCGTCTGCTCTTTCCCTTACATCTTTCCGTCAATCTTCGCTCTCTCACCTTCCCGTTTCCCTTCTATCTCACTCTCCATTCCTCCCTCTCCTCTCCTTTTCCCCTTCCGTGTGTTTTCTCCCTCTTCCCTCCTCTTCCCCTCCTCCCTCTTTTCTCTCCTTCAGATAGAGACGTGTGTTTGAGTGGCAGCCGGGCCGTGACCTGTCCGAACCGGAGGGACTCCCCATCAGCGGCTCTATCTCGTGGTCTGTGGGTCTAAATGGAGGTCAGCCCCTTCACTCCTCTGCTCCGCACACACACACACACACACACACACACACACACACTCGCAGAGGCAGCGCCGCTCCAGCTGTTCACATCTGGAACAATAAAGAGCGCTGGCAACATCTGGAGAGGCTGAGTGAAGGTTTGATGGGCCAAGACAAACCAAGTACAAGAGGTCTATAAACGCCGGCCATTACAGGTCCTATATTATGCTAAATCTGTGTTTTTGAGCGTTAAACTGTCATGTTTCCTGATCAAAAACGAACCGAGGTTATATGTAGGGGTGTGCAAAAATATCAAAATATCTTACTGTTTAATGTGATGATACAGTATCAATATCGTGGGCTGTTGTATCGATATATCGTCAAGAGTATTTTTTGGTTTATGGAACTTGTTTATGCATCACATTTGTCATTTTCTCTGTTCTGATCATTAAAATGTTTGTGTTTCATATGAACTTTGCACAAGAAGTGGTTTAATAAAGACTTTTTGTATCAGTCAGACATGATTTACACACAGGTGGGTCAGGACTAAACCAGGACTAAACCAGGACTAATCTTGGACTTGAGGGAGAGAACCCAGAGCAAAGCGGTGTCCCCAAAACGCGATCGGGCAATTGCCGCGATTACCTTTGTGAGGTGCGGAGCTGAGTTCACGGAGCTTCCTCCTGCGGTCACCGCCGAGCCCGTCCTGACAGTGAGTCCTGTTTCAGTCCTGTTTTAGTCCTAGTTCAGTCCTAGGTTAGTCCTGGTTTAGTCCTGGTTTAGTCCTGGTTCAGTCCTGGTTTATTCCTGTTTTAGTCCTGTTTTAGTCCTAGTTCAGTCCTGGTTTAGTCCTGTTTTACTCCTGTTTTAGTCCTAGTTCAGTCCTGTTTTAGTCCTAGTTTACTCCTGTTTTAGTCCTAGTTCAGTCCTGGTTTAGTCCTGTTTTAGTCCTGTTTTAGTCCTGGTTTAGTCCTGGTTTAGTCCTGTTTTAGTCCTAGTTCAGTCCTGGTTTAATCCTGTTTTACTCCTGTTTTAGTCCTAGTTCAGTCCTGGTTTAGTCCTGTTTTAGTCCTGTTTTAGTCCTAGATTAGTTCTGTTTTAGTCCTGGTTTACTCCTGTTTTAGTCCTAGTTCAGTCCTGGTTTAATCCTGTTTTACTCCTGTTTTAGTCCTAGTTCAGTCCTGGTTTTAGTCCTGTTTAGTCCTTTAGTTCTGTTTTAGTCCTGTTTACTCCTGTTTTAGTCTTAGTCTAGTTAGTCCTGGTTTAGTCCTGTTTAGTCCTGTTTAGTCCTGTTTTAGTCCTGTTTTAGTCCTAGATTAGTTCTGTTTTAGTCCTGGTTTACTCCTGTTTTAGTCCTAGTTCAGTCCTGGTTTAGTCCTGTTTTAGTCCTGGTTCAGTCCTAGGTTAGTCCTGGTTTAGTCCTGGTTTAGTCCTGTTTTAGTCCTGTTTTAGTCCTAGATTAGTTCTGTTTTAGTCCTGTTTTACTCCTGTTTTAGTCCTGGTTCAGTCCTAGGTTAGTCCTGGGTTAGTCCTGGGTTAGTCCTGGGTTAGTCCTGGGTTAGTCCTGGATCAGTCTGTGGGGCAGGCAGCGCAAAAGTTTGATACAATAACAGACTGAATGATCGAAAACAATGACATGGGTTCTGTAAATATTGAACCAGAGCGTTTTTAAATGAAGGGGGCTGACGTAAACTGTAAGAGGATCTGAACGGAATTAAACACTGTTTGAGATATTCACGAAAACTGAGATGAATGCATTTAAAAGGTAAATAATAACCAGTGAAGTTGAGCAGAGGCACTAGGCGGTATCTTTTCTAACACGGCTTAGAGCTCACAGAAATATATTTAGTGTAATATAGGACCTTCTTAAGTCGTGTGCATTCCCAAGTCAACACACACACACACACCTGCTTATGTAAGTCTGGTTCTCGTATCCACATCCTCCACACTAGGCTCCTGGATTCTTCCCTCTGAAGTCATGGTTCGGTGTGGGCCAGCGCTAACCCCTTTTCAGGCGCGATCGTGCGAGCTGGGGCGGGTGGGTAATTGAAATGCTACGGTTGAGGCTTTGCTTTGAGCTGTCGCGGCGAGTTAGCGGGCGGCCTGCGGTGGGTAATGTGAGGTGAGTTAGCGCTGAAGTGTG